ATATAGTATATAAATAGAGAAACACGAAACAGTTCAGTACCTTTTTCTCCTGTGTTTCTCAATTGATTCTTTTTGCTTAGTTGCTATTGACGAGCAAACACTAAATGTTATCAATAAAAAAATTTGGAAACACTTCATCTATACTAATATAATATTATAGAGGTTAAGTTTGTGAGATTGTTTTTGTGACGTTGTAAATGGTAATCTCTGAATTTACTAAGCCGATTTAGATGTTTGGTGAGAGGAGAGTGAGATCTTGGGAAGTACATAGGATACTTTTTATTCCGGAAATCATCCCTTAAGGGAGTGAAAATGAAAGTTTGTATGGGGAATCAAGCTAGTGACGAACCCAAGCGAAGCTAGAGTGAGTTGCTAGTTTTTTTATATAAGTAGATAGATAAATTCTCATATATGTTTTCCTCAAATTTTCATCAATAATAACCAAATTTTGACCACTGGGCGAATAATGATATATGTAAATACATACATGTTTATATGTACACATAGTATATATTTTTCATAGTCTTAAAATAGCACATTAATAAACTACTTTTACAAACCTTGCCTTTATTATTTCTAGATAATTTATTGTTATGTCTTTAACATTTAAAACGCATTCAATAAAGAACACCGAAAAGAAAACACGTCAGCCGTTTACTTTATATCAAGTGAATACTCGATTACTATCGATAACACTTTAGAACTTTGTAATTAAGTACCGTTGGCAAATAATTAACTAAATAAATTCTATGAATATTATAAGCGCGGATGTATGGATGTATGTATATTTTTTACTCTTTTACGCAAAAACTACTTAACGGATTTTAATGAAACTTTTTACAGTAATATATAACTTATACCTACATCAGAGTACACATGCACGCGGACGGAACTGCAGGAAAATGCTATTACTTATTATAATAGAAAATCTTATTTCATGTATGTCTGAAACGGCTCTAACAATTTGGATCAAATTTTGTATTTAGATAATGTTTTGCTTTTTAAGCTTATCTATATAATCTATTTCCTGAAAAACTCAACTTTCCCAAAAAAACACGATTTTACAAAAAATACTAATAATAAAAATCCTATAATACCTGTCATTCGGTCACATATGTATAATCAGTATTTCTTTTTATGGGTAGTGTGGGTGTTTACAATAAAAACAGAATGGTAGAGTTGTCAACTCGCAATAAACAAATAGTTGTAATCGTATATTTTGTTGAAAACACTTTTAGAACTGGTAAATATAAACCAGACCGACCGGTTTATTACTCAGCAACGTTAAATATGTACAAAATAGCTGTTTTTTAAAATATGTCCAAGAGCTAAAATCGCTTTTTTTTGCATACCGTACGACATGAAACATGGTATACGTATAATGTATGCTAACAGAAAATACTTAAGTTATTTAGCAAGTTTAAAATGCCAAGTGATCTGTTTACTTGCTTCGTAAAGAGTCGGTAATGCTATATTTTATACAGCATTGAAACTGTAATTGAAACCTGTGAGTTCACACAAAATTATTTGAAAAAAAATTTTTGTTTGTCTGAGGTCGCAAATTCGATTCCTGGGATATGAGTAGTTAATTTATGATTTACTAGCGACTCACCCTCGCTTCGCTCGGGTTCGTCCCTACTTACGTTTTCACGTTTGGTATCGATTTCTCATCGATGAGATATTTTCCTGCAGTAAAAAGTATCCTATATGTTGACCCGGATAACCAGCTATCATTATACCACATTTCATCAAAATCTCCAGTGGTTTTTCTGTGATGCTGTAACAGACATACAGACAGACAAAAGTTCTAATAAGTATCGATAATAATGTTTATTTCAATAAGATTTTCCAAAATATATTTAATGTACAGATTCGACTCAGAATTTTATTATACGTATAGATTAAGATGTTCAATATTTCGTGCCTTTCGGGACGTGTATCTTGAGTCCCCTAAGCCGCTAAAAATCTCTTTTTTTCTCTTTTGATGAAAAAGAAAAGAAAAAACGTGAGAAACAATAATATAAGCGATATCTATTTTTAACCGACTGTGGCGGACCCAAAAGGAGGGTTATATAAATGACCTATATGTATGTTTGTATATCCGACCATATGTACCCTCGTAATTAGTAAACGACTTAATCGGTTTCGATGAATATTGGATTAAATTCCTCTAGATTAAGCGAGTGACATAAAGAAAACGTAATAATATATAAATTATAAAAAATCAGAATGGCAGATTTTAGGCGCCATTTTGTTAATTAATACAAAAAATAAATTAATTTTCTTATAAGATTAGAAACTCGTATTAATTATAAGCATAATAAAATAATAAATAATTGTATACATGCTCAATAAGTGTTTGTACAGGGACCCAATTATCAAGCTTTAATGTTTGTCCAAGATTAGTTACTTGTATCTTAAGAAAAATTTATTTATAAGCGATAAGAACATTTCATTTCTTCCGTTACTTCTATCTTTGAAGATCTATTGATATTATCACCAATTTACAATGATGAATGTAGCATTTTGTAACATCTACAGTTTCTCTTGTTACTGTGTATGAAATCTTAGAAATAGATTTATACTACTTCAAATTGTGTTTATTACTATTAACCGACTTTTAAAAAAGAGGAGGTTCTCAATTCGTTGGAATCTTTTTTTTGTGTGTTCACCGTTTACACGAAGACGCCTGAACCGATTTGGATTTTTTTGTTTTGTTGTAAAGGGTATACTTCCCAGGTGGTCCCGTATAAATTTAATCAAAATCGGTCTAGCGGTTTTTTAAAAAAAATCAGCAATCAATAATTTTGTAAAATAAATTGTTTAATCGAATGTGTTATTGAAAAACTTTATTCTTACAAATACCTGCTTATTACATCTACACTTAAAATGGAAAAATAAAAACTTTTTTTTATTTACTGGCAACTTACGTCGCTAGGTATGATTTTCTTTACAATTTCGTAGGTTTTAATTTTTTTCCGCGGAACCCTAATTGTTTTTCTAAAATAAATCTAACCCCTTAGTTACTCCTTATAAGATCAGTTATCTACGTGTAAAAGTCAAAATCAGGCCAGCTGCTTCGGAGGCTAGCCGGAATAGACAGACAGACAGAGAAATTTAAAAAAAGTGTTTTTCTTATAATATGTACCGTATAATATTCATTGGCATTTAGTAAGAAGTTGTTATTTTGACATTACAAACACACACTTCATTATTTTATTGTATAGATTCTTAAATTTTGTGAAATCCTAATGGCAATACATTATACATTTCGATGCCATCGAGGCCTGATGATGAAGACATTAGACACCAGATGGGAAGTAATTGTAGAGTTTCACTAGTAAAACTTCTAGTGAGACTTGTTTTGACATGTCACATTATAGTTGGTCGATAGTTTGTTTTTAATATTTCATAGCTAAAAACTATACAATAATATCAGTTTTATGTTTGTCTTGAAATGTAAATATTAAATCGACATTGAGGATAAAATATTAGGTATACATATTTCATTATTATTCTTAACGTAATGTCGCGCGTGGGCCGGCAAATATTGTTTCACTTATAAGGAAGATCTTTCAATGATACTCGTACTTACACGTTTTAATTATCAAATTTATTTGTAGAGCTTTTGTGATTCTTTTTATTTGTACTCGTACTCTACATAATATTTATATATAATCTCAAAATAAAATCTATATATTTAACGTATTATTACATCTGCAAATCGCATTTATACAAATTATGTATGTGTTACTTCTTTGCTTGGGTCTTATTACGTAAAATTTTATCAAAAGTGATCCAGTATAAACAATGCTGGGCTAAATTAGACTACAAATCTAACAAAGCATTTCACTTACATACAAATATATTATCGAAGGTTTTCTTTTCGGGATTGAATATGTAGTAGTTGGAAAAAAACCCGTAATGAACGGTTTAGTACAAGATATGCACACATACATACATACATATGTACCAATGTACCAAGTCGGTGTATGAGTTATTGTAATCAAGATAATGGTATAATAACGTTTTTTTTTTAAAGAAGCCATACCTGAATTTCGAAATTGCCTTTCACTAGTTTGCGTAAATATTTACAAGCTTTTCTATGTTGTAGGCAGTAGCAGAATAAATATTGGTTCACGCTATAGGGGTGAGATGGTCAATTTTGGTGCGCCCTCCAATCGCTTGTTCAAACAATATCGGTGTAGGCACACAGTCAATGATTTTGTTTATATTTGTCGATCAACGCCTTACGACATTAAGGAATTAGTCTTAAATGACGCTTTCTAACTCAGAATGTTCATTTCAAGTATTGATGACGTTTCTTAATACTTATCTATTTGTTTTCCTTACTAAAGATATATGTACATCTATACAGATAAATAATATTGAAGTGTCTATTTTTAATGACAAAGTAACAGCTTTTTACTAAGTATATGAAATTATATACGCTGGGTAGTTACAACAAAACAATATTTTTTTTTATTTTTGTCTGTCTGTTTGTTCCGGCTAATCTCCGAAACGGCTGGACTGATTTTGACAAGACTTTCACTGGCAGACAGCTGATATTAAAGGAGTAACTTAGGCTACTTTTATTTTGGAAAAAGAATCGGCGTTCCACGCAAAAAAAAGAAAACCCATCAAATTGTGACTGTTATCCGCGTATCTAGGGGCGCTAAAAAAGTCGCTAGTTTGACATACTCGTAGTTTCCATACAAATATCGGGATCCAAATATATGTAGCTGTATATATTATATAAGATGCAGAAAAATGACTGTTGTACTTATCAGCGCCATTACACTCTATCAGTCGAACTCTATCGTACAATTATTTATAGTTTTACGTTTGCCTATAATTTTAGTAGCCTCTATAATATAAAAATTGTTTAATATATATTAGGTATATTGTTCCTAATTTTGAATTGAATAATAAGATTATTTTGTAATTTTTGTTAAAGTTTTTCTATTGTTCTTCCTAATTTTTACTAAATATTGTTTTAGATTCTGCCCTATATTGACGGATTCAACCACGTATCAAAGATAGCGGCGTTAACAGACGTGGAGATCAGCTTAGTACGCGCGTGTGTACAGAATCTGGTCTACTATGGAGTCGTTACATTAGTGCCCATCTTCCAGTATTGCGCTGTGAGTCTTCTGTTATTGTTTTCAATTAAAATGATACATAATAGAAACGTTTCAAGTAAAATTATTTTTTAATGTTTTAAATCAAGCATTAGTACGGGAGAGACTGAGGTTGAAACGTCGAGTACCAAAAAGCAGAATGAAACCGTGACAAAATCTAAAATAATAGTTTTGTTTAACGTGTCTAATATTCATATTTTAAAAAAGATACTCGTTTGTCTAATGTTAAGCATAAAGAGCTGCGATCAGAGGCTGGGTTCGAGCCCCGAGTTAGTTCGAAAAGTGGTTATTGAGATTTTTCTACAAAAAATCTCAGTAATCGCCTGGATTTATTAAGTGTAGTAATACGGTCCCGTATTTCGATTTGCACATTTTATGCTAGAGCTTTTTTCGTTTGTGTTGATTGAAAACGTTGTACAATAAACGTCACTGCATATTGTAAAATCATCCCTTCTGAAAACTTCATTCGTCATTCAGTCGCCAAACAGTCATTAGTAAATAATAAAATTTAATAAAACCCTTTAACAGGTTTACAGCGCAACGCCTAAATTACGGCAGCTCACTCGCTGCGTGGGACTGCAGCGACAGTGCGTAGAGTTTTGTGCGAGATCACGTGAGTTCCTTTTCTATCTTATTCTCTTATGTTTTTAATTAACTAATATGGGAAATAGTAGTCATGTTTGTATTTTCTGTTAAATTAAGTAATGAAATTTATAAGCATTGCCCGCGGCTCCGCCCGCGTTTAAATGACCAAAAACCAAATTCTTAGGTTTTACATATTAGTATACTCTTACATTGTAGTTTTTGTAATTTTTCTCAGAAATAACATATTTTCCGGCGGTAAAAAGTGGACCCGGAGAACCAGCTATCAACGTACCAAATTTCATCAAAATCCCTCCAGTGGTATTTCTGTGATGCGGTAACAAACAGACGGACAAAAATTCTAAAAACTATAGATTCGGCCTCTCTATCGATAAGATTTTCAAAAAATATTTAATGTACAGATTCGGCTTAGTTACAATTTTATTATATGTATAGATTAATAAATCCTAAGAAGTTATGTATGTTTGTTACTTAACGCTAAAAGGGCTAGACGAATTTGAATGAAATTCTATACACAGACTACGACCTGGAATAACACATAGGCTACTGTTAACTACTTAGGGACGCGCGAGTACGTCGCTCGTAATCCATATCCATACTAATATTATAAATGAGAAAATAAGTCTGTCTGTCTGTTACGTTTTCACGCCTAAACAGCTGAACCAATTTTGATGAAGTTTGGTATAAGAGAGATAGAGAAGGACATAGGATACTTTTTATCGCAAAAATGAAACTTAAAAGAGGTGAAATAGGGGTTGAGTTTGTTTTGGGAACAAATCATTTTTCAAGTTAAAAAAAAATATTATATGAAATAAAGAGTATTTCAGTGTTTAGGACCAACTAAGGTAGATGGAATAGGGGATGATTTCAATTTTTTTTAAGTACCTACCTACCTACTTTTCTACACTAATGTATATATGTATATTATATAATCTGTCTATAATATATAATTCATATAATAGTAATATAAATAACCTTATCAGCTCCGACAAGGGCCAAGATACGACACTACGTCTGGTATGATATGTAGAGTTTTCTGACTAATTTTATCAATACATTCGAATTCATTTCGCTAAAGCCTTCGTATCTAAACGTTATACGATTACGACGAACGATATATTTATGTATATGGTTATTTGTAGGAATATATGTATAATATTGATAGGAATATATTTATGTGCTTAATTTTCTTTTGTTTTTAACAGCGCGTCAACTACCTAAAGTGAGCGATTTATTCCGAATGTACGCGGGCATGTCGTACGGGAGCACCGTGAGGGACCTGTGCCGTCGCATGCGGCCGCAGGAACTAGCCATCAACGAGAGAAAACTTGTCCTGTTTGGAGTTCTAGAAGGTCTTATACGCAGGGTTTATAAAGTGAGTCTTATTTACGATTCAACTTTTATACTGTTATAATAAGGCATTGGTAGCCTAGTGTTAACGCGCTCGCTTGGGAAACCGAGTGAAGCGGGTTCAAATCCCCGATCTCTGATATTTTCTGAAGGGAAACGTCGTGAGAAAACCTGCAAATTTGAGAGAACTTAGCAAGTTTTCGAAAGACATGTGAAGTCTACCAACCCGCATTTGATCAGCGTAATGGACTATGGCCTGATCACTCTCGTATTGAAGGGATGCCCGTGCCCAGGCAGTGGGGCTTTAAAAAGGGCTGTATTCCACCTACCATTGTGATAAAATTAAATATACTTATATCTATATGGTTATATTAAAAAAAGTAGAACATTATTTAATAAACTTTGTCTCTGATGTCATGGGTTCCAAATTCCAAACTCTATCCAAGATAAAAGCCCTTTATTGTTGACTCAGGTTTATTTTTCACTAAGTGCTATATATAATAATATAATTAATATTTACATTTTTGTTTAATATCTATGTATTAGAAAGATTCGTAGGATCTCGTACCTGTTGGCAAGATTTTGAGAGATTATAGTCTACATAGATTAGATTAGAAATAGAACTTTAGTTCACATCTAGTCACGCCCGCGGAGCCACTCGTGTGGTGCGTGGATTAAAAATCGCATTTGTTACTACGAAATACTCTCTATTGGACAAAGAATTTGTATAATGCAAAAAGCTACTCAACGTCGCTGTCGATGTACCAATGTAACTTTAAATATAAATATATAAAACTGCTGTCTCCCGTCGGTTTGCTCGGCGTACGAAAATGTTTCTTTTGGTCTTCAGAGACCTTAATGTATGTTTAGGTTTTCCGCTTATAAGTTACATATTTAGGTAAAATAATACAAACAAATGAATAAAAAAAGTGTGTCGTCTTTTGTTTTTATTGGTATGAAAAAATATTTAAAAAAGTAAATAAAAAATTAAATAAAAAATTTAGTAGTGGCGACTGTCGATAGAAGTGAAAACTTAAATAAACCTTTGAAATAATTGTGTTTTTTATTTAATTTTCAAATTAATTATAATATGAAGAACTAAAATTTCATAATTTGTAAATTGAAATTATTGTTAGTCTGGTTTCCCAATTCATGGCACTCCGAGCATAATTATTTACATTTTATTAGAGTTTATTTATTAATTAAAACTTGACGCTGCGCTTCGCCAGATTACGTCGACACGTCACATGTCACACGCAGCATGTCGGTGACGCGAACCCATAAGTTTTGCTCCTACTAAAAATAGCTAAGGAAGTTTTCACTTCAAAAATTGTGAAAAGTGTGTGTAAATTGAAAAATAAATAACCCAAAACCATGTAGGTACAGATTATTCCGCTTCGATTGGTCAAGTCTCATACCGTACTATTACCTATATAATTTTAGTCTGTTTACACAGACTTACAGTCAGACAAACCGATATTTTTCACATATTAATATCTAATAACAAAATTGTCCTTCGAAACTTATCTGCCATATTTATGTAAAATGCATGTTAATATTCATATTATGTTGTTAAATGATAAGGGGCAAGAACAAGTTTTAGTACCTACTCACGTGTAGAGTATTCTCTTATCTCTTAGATAGCATTTTTAGTACCTGTTAGATATTTTTCTTAAAAAAAGAAGAAGAAAAATATTTCTTTTGCCACGTTTGGAAAAAATTATAAGAGTAAAATTTTTACGATGCGCGTGCACACCGACAGCGAAAAAGTGACATGATGAAGTTAGCTGCATTCCTTTTACAAACACAGAGTGGTGACATACGGGATGAAATCTTTAGCTATTTTTGTTCTGTTACGCCAAAGAAGTATAATTTCTTACGTGCGTACACACACACGTTTTTTTTTATTTAACTATAACATAGCTCGTCAGTATCTACTAAATAAAATAAATTCGATTGACAGACAGAAGAGAAAAAGATACCGAACTGTTTTGTCTTTGCCTATTTATTATATAGCTTCCGCAATATAACTAAATCGTATAATCTATATCTAATTGTAAGTGTAAGAATAAAGAAATCTTTCTTGACACATATATTCAGCAATAAATAACTAGAACCTGCAAAACACTTGATGTTATTATACTGTCATATGATAATGTTACTCTAAATTGTAATCTTAGCACCTCTAGGTAAATTTCTAAGAAATTAATTAAAATTCTAAGAAATCTATTGTTAACTAACACGCCGGCATGTCCGAGGTCGTAGAGGGATTAATGTGATTTTCATTATTATAAGCAGCTCTTGAATAGAGGTGGGTGATAAAACCCGGAAAAGAAAAGAGCTATACCTAATAGGTCCTTTGTAGTGCAGCCATTTTGCTTGTATGTACGATGTTATTCTTTTCCTTCGATTGCTTGTTAAAAATAGATATATGACATACTTTTTCTGCTTACTACTAATATATTTTAACCGACTGTAGCTAAGAGGGAGTTGTGAGTTTGTAGATATTTCCGCGTGTCTTCGCCGAATTACTATCATTACAAGAAATATTTTCGCGTTTTGTATCTTATTTATCAAGGAGGATTATAAGGTTTCTATCGTTAAGCTTTGACTCATAGGTGTGAAGCAAAATTTACATCCATACTAATAATATAATAATAAAGTAAAGTCTGTCTGTCTGTTACCTTTACACGCTCAATCCGTTGAACCGATTTAGATGAAATTTGTTATGGAGATAGTTTGAGATCCTGGGAAGGACATAGAATAGTTTTTATCCCGGAAGCTTGTATAGGGAATTAATCGTTACCTACTTTTCTATATCTAAGCTTGTACATATTATATATGTACATACGAGCTTATAGTCTACTCCATACTAACCGTTAAGACGTACCTAGGGACGAACCTGAGCGAAGCGAAGAGTGAAGTGTGAAGTGAGTCGCTAATAAATAAATAAATTAGCAACGCGGGCGCAGCCTCAAATTGGCGTTTACGTTGAAATTTTAGTTTAGTAAACTTCTAGATATATAATTTAAGTATACTTATTTTATCATCTTGTTCCCAGTACCCAATAACACTTCACAACGACGACGCTTCTCTACGGAGTGACCACAGCCAGTACGTGGCGCGGACTTACAACGGTCTGGTGTGTTTGGACGAGCTGTGCTGCCAGGGAGGGCTCTCCGCCTCGCAATTAGAGGAACAACTCGAGAGGGACAGCGATGTTATATTCATTGTCAAATGAAGAAACGGTTGTATTTTTAATATTTACAATTTACCCGCATATTTTTGGACGCTTCAACCATTTTATTGGTTTGTACTTTCGGGAGGTAATGTATATGGATTGTTTTAAGCCAAATTAATCTTAAAATTGTGTTTTCTATATGAATTTCATTGAACTAGCGAAGGGTTTAGTGGCAAATAAGGAACCGATGCATGTTTTCTTTTAAATATTTTGAGGTATATTTATCGACTTCGCCGTATATTCTGATGATAAAACGTATGAATGTAATGTAAATATTGTATATTTGAATATGCTATTATATAATATATTATATTATATGATATATAAAATTATGAAAATTTCACTAATATTGAGACGATTTCAAAGAAATTTAATTAAGAATAATTAATAAAGAGTAAAATATTTTATTATTAATAATTAATTGTAATTATCAGCTCTTTTAAAAGAAATGCAATCTTATACTCTTAAGTGTGATTTTCTAATATACGAAAAAGTCATATTTTTAGAGAAAAAAATATATTGTGTTCAATTTAAATCTTTCAAATTAATTGTAAAAAAATTATAAAATATAGCTTTATTTTGTATTATTCTCATAGAGTTAAATATAATATATTTTAAAATCTTAGATTAAGGAATAATTAGGCAGAGTGTATGACACTAGTGTACATGTGTAGTTCTATGGAACTAAACATGAAGCCAAACAATGTTTTAAAATAATATACATATAACAATTTGTGTACTGGGTGATTAGAAAATAAATGTTAATAAATAAAAATAGTAACGGATTTAATATAATATAAAGAAAAAAATTAAATAACCTACTAAAGAGAATTGTTGCTTAAAATATACAAAACAATATTAATTAATTAATTATTATTGCAAAAATTCTATATTAATTTAACTAATATATACTTACATAAAATTTCCCTTCTTCTCTAAAGTATGGCAAAATCGAGAACAGTAGCATAAACAGCAAATCACGCTACTATTTTTAACTTTGACATTTATTTTGGCAGACTTATTTCTATACGTGTACATTTGTATATAAATATATACGTATAAATGTATACATTTCACCGTCTATATAATTCTTTAGTGTGACAATTTAAAGTACATACAATACTTTTATGATACATCATTATTTATAAGCATTGTTGACAACGACTGTACCTTAATTGGGAAGCTAATTTAGAAATAAAAATTTACTGCTACAAAATTAATTTGTCAGTACTTTTATACACTTGTTTCGAAAAAAACTAATATTTCTTTTCGTGTCTCGTCTAAAAATATGTTAGTTTATCACGTTTTAAAAGCCTCCTTAAAAAATTAGTCCAAAAATATTGTAGAGGTCGCTCCAGAATTTTTAAAAATTGCAAAATCTGCTAAAATTGATTTTTTTTATAATTTTTCCTCTCGTTATTTTACCATTTTCTAGATTGGAAAAATGTCGATTCTGAAAATTTCAAATCGATATTATAATTTCTAAAGGTCGCTCATTGATTTTTAACGTTGAAATTTTCAGAATCAACATGGTAAAATACGGAGAAAAAAATCTATTTGTGACGATTTCGGAAATTTTAATTTTTTTAAGCAATCTCTAAAAATAATTTTTTAAGCTACTTTTTTAGGGAGGCTCTTAAAACATTATAAAGTAACGTATAGTTTTTGTAACCAGGGTTACTTTGTTTATAATATAGTTTATTAGGTACCTTGAACGCAAAAAATAGACTTTATTTTCAAGGATATTTTTCAAACCCAATACGTAATATAAAAAAATAACAGATAAAATCTACTTTGTAATAAAAATATTTAAGTTTACCAGATTTGTATCATAAATTTATGTTATTACTTACCAATATATTACAAACTGCTCAATTTTCATAGATATAGTTATAGTTTTTTATACTTTACAGATTATAATCAATAATGGTGCTGTATATTCATTCTTGTAAGTACATTCTTAATGGAAGGCCTGAACAAAGAAATTCCCACCGAATTCATTACAGAAGTTATATTATTAATGATTTTTTGATTAATAAATTAATAACCATGTAATAACAATTGTCATTGTGTTTTTTTAATTTACTAAAATATACATATTGTTTGTTTATCAAACTTAATAACTTAAAGGTGCTTCCACACAGGAGTTCAAAAATGTTAGTAAACATTTGTAAGTGAACATTTTACCGCAAAAAAAAACACTTTGTAACAAAACTTATTAAATATTGACTTTTTATTAAATGTTTTCAAACATTTGCTAACACAACAATTTGAAGCAAATTATAACAATATGAAACTTATCTTAGAAAACATTAAAACTAGGCGACAGCGAGATTTGCAGGATGTATATAAAATACTTATTAGGAAATGTTCTACAACACGTTTTATCAGTGTGGAAGCTTTAAGAACATCTGGCAATAGTTAACATGTTAGTGAACATGTTAATGAATGTTAAAAAAAGTTTCCGTGTTAAAAAAATGTTATGTAATGTTATCTAAGATTTTTTAACTGCTGTGTAAAAGCACCATTTCTTAAATAAGTTAATTTCTTTGGAAATATTTCATAATATACGTCTTCCACTTTCTTTTTTATGTACATATAAATAAACTTCATTTGTTGTACTGACCTAGTCTAAATTCATTGTCTGACTCGCTAGTCAACTTCTACAGTGCCTTCTTATAATGTAACGCATAAATATTAAGAAAAACTAATGTAATTAAAATGTATAGTGTTGTTTATTTATACATATTTTTTAAGAGATTATTTTCATAAATTGTTTAGAGAATATTACATTTAATATTCATAAATCGACAAAATGTTATTTTGTTTTTAAGTAATATATAAATTGATCTTTTAAATGACTTTTATTAAATATTCTTTGATATTTAGAACATTAAACAGGTAAGGTTCTTTAAATATTATGGAGTTTTAGGCGATTATATTTTTAACCCATTTGAAATTATTCGTGTATTTTGTTCATATCAACATTATTCAATGATTAAAAAAAAGAGTGCGTGTATCAATGTGTACACGCAAGAAGTGAAACTTCTGTAGGTTATCGATACTTTTTGTGAAATTCAATTTACGTTTAAACTAGCGACTTACCTTCGCTTCGCTCGGGTTCGTCCCTAGGTAGGTTTTAATTCTTTTGAGCGGAACCCTATTTTTTTTTCTAAAATACAAGTAGCCGATGTTACTCCCTATAAAATCACCATCAACGCTGTTATTTTGACATTACAAACAGACACTTCAATTTTATTTATCTGTATAGATTTAGGATAGGAGAGATACAAAAAAAATATTTTTTATCGATTTAAAAAGGAAAACAGTATGTTATTATTCACATAGTACAGGTGGTGTTAAGATAAAATTGAATTTTCAAATTTAATGATTCAATGAATTATATACTACAAAAAAATAAACAGTAATACAGGGATGCAAATTTTTAAGTGAAAAAAAATTACCTATAAAAATTATTTCAAGTAAATATTTTTTTAATAATCTATTCTTATTTAATTTGTTCTTTGAAATATTCATAAAATATTTTAAATAGTTTTTAATTGACAATTTTTTGACTTCCGTAATACCGTTTCCGTTGCAAAAACCTTAACGCCAACCCTTTTTTTTCCTTTCATGGCGCGCCTAAAGAAGTTCCACTTAAAAAATAAACTTTAGAACTAACACAATTTTTTGTATAAGAAAAATGCATAGGTTTATACATAACTTGTATGTACCCCATAAAACGGACAGAAAATAAAAATACAACCATTTCAAAGACAGTACTGATTTAATATATCTTATATAACATCATATAAGTTACAAAATACATAAACAGTATGTAGGTAACGAAACACTTGACTAGCGTTTTAGATACAAAACAGTATTGATAACTGCATGCTACAGACGCCACCTCCTAACCTACAAACTTTACACACGACTCCTAAATGTTTTAATTTAGAAATAAATAACCAAAACTCAGAAACAAAACGTCCATTTTCCCCTTATATCTACGAAGCGTCCATAGCACATAGGAACCTATTACGAAAATACGTTTTCCAAAAGAAAAAATCTGACAAGACAGGAATTAAGAGCAATATAGTTTTGTAAGGTTTGTATAAAAATTAAATTACGTTTTGGCACGGCGTATAGAAAATAGAACGGTCTGTATGTATGTACATAATATGTGGCTGTGTTTATATTTGTACAGTTAATATATATTCCAACCTCTTTGCTATTTATTACATATTGAATTTTATGAAAAAAGCACAAGTATCAAACACAACCTGTGTTCAACGCGAGTGATAATTAAATTATTTTATCTTTATATATTGATTAATTAATTATTTTTCATTAGGCTTAATAGTATATAGATTTTAAATAAAACTATATTTTCGGTTTTTTTTCGAAGACACTCCTTTGATCGCTGTAAAACATTCGAAACGTAGGCAACCAAAAATCATAATAAATCCGCGAGAATAATCCGAAAAAAAAATAGTTTTATTTAAAGTGTCAAATATTCGCGTAAATCTAAGTATATAGATTATAAAAAGAAAATGTAGAAAACGATGTTTTTGCTTAGAGAAATGGCGAAATCTCACTCATGTTGAACAACATCCACTGTTACAATTACAATCTACTGTAAAAATAAATACTATTTTATTCGTTATATTGATCCATTAATTAAATAGCACGCACGCGACCACACTACCTTTGCATTTAGGTCAAAATAAAAAAAAAACAAAGAAAAAATCCTAATATCTATTACATCACAACTTTTTTATTTAAAAAATATTCGCATTTTGATATTTGAATGAATATTTAAATTAAAAATATCGATTTTTCAAAAATAGTGACGTTTAGAGAAACATATCGAAAAAACCGTTAAGCAGAGCGAAAACCACAAACGTCCGTAAACTTGTAACTATAGACAAATCACAACATATGTATTATATTGTATGTATATACATACAAAAAAGGTTGTCGTGGTCACGTGTGTATCTTAGAAATATTTAATTTTTGCATATTTAGAGGAATCATTACATTATTGTATCGAATCGCCACTTATGAATACATAATATATACGAGCAGCTCGCGAGCGACACTACGCACTGGTTGTATGACATTGGCGCAAATTAAATACTATGTAGTCATTTAAAGACTGGTAGCCCAGTGGTAACGCGCTTGCTTAGAAAATCGCGTGAAGCGTGTTCAAATCCCGGGTCTCACAGCTATGATATTTTTATATGCGAATCATCGTGAGGAAATCTGCATGTCTAAGAGAACCTAGCAAGTTTTCGAAAGACATGCTCAACCGCCTGCACTTATCCAGCGTGGTGGACTATGGCCTGATCCCCCTCGTATTGAAGGAAGACCTGTGCCCAGCAGTAGGACGTTAAAAAGGGCTGAATATTATGTAGTCATTTTCTATTTAAACGTTCGCTTCGTCATCTATTTTGTAACTTAATAGATAGTAGATAAATCAATGGGAATGAGCCATTACAAAATCTTTAACCTACACATTTTAACCCCTTAAATTCACTCGAGGTAATAAAGTATCTCCATTTCGAATTTCATTTAAATCCAAAAAAGATTTACAATATAAAGAAGTAATAATAATCACATTATAATTTAGTCACAAAATTTCGCATTAATAATAGTCATTTTGTGTTTTTCTTTAATCTAAACTAATAATATGTATAAAGAGGCAGAGTTTGTTTGTTTGTTTGAACGTGCTAATCTCAAGAACTACTAATCCGATTAGAAAAATTATTCTTTCATTAGATAGCCTGTTAACTGAGGAAAGCTATAGGCTATATATCATCCCGAAAAATTGTACGGTTCCCGTGGGTTAGATTTGTTTTCATCTAGGGCCGAACCCGAAGAAAGCGAGGGCGAGTCGCTAGTAAATTGTATATTGGCTTACCTAAAAACACCGGCTTACCTTACAACCAATGTCATACAAACAGTTCCTTACAATTGCTTACATCAGACACACGTTCTGAATTACACTGTATATAAATCATATAGCTTACATACATAGAAAGGCACAAAATATTTGGTAAGTTAAATAATACGAGAAACTTATGTATAGACTATTATATAATAATAATTGATAAATACTTAGAATAAACTAGTTGAAATGGGATTGTTTGATAAAAAAAAATATTTCTATATAAAAAAAACATTATATATAATATATGAATATGTAAACTAAATTCCGATTAAGTGAAGTAATGTCACAATATTTTTAAGTGACAGTTAGGTATACACGTTTCTTTTAATTTATTTCAATTTATGGTTTAAAAAAAGTTTGCTATTTTCAAAGAAATAGCATTATCTATGAGATTCCATAAACAATTCCATCTCAACTAACTACTCTTATTTATAATACACTATGGTATATTAGCTACCATAAAGAACAAACTATTTGCTTTCAGTCGAGTAAGTTACCAAATGCTACACATATTATTAATAATTACATATGTATATACTTCATACATATATTACCTTAATATGAAAAAACTTTTAGTTATAAAAAAATATATATATAATCAGGCGCGTAAAATATAAAATTGAGCCATATAAAAAAAATAGGCTGTGACCACACTAACGTTAAACATAACGTGAAAACGTGTCAAATATTCGCGTAAATCTAAGATCTCAAATGATATTTCTCTATACCTAATAGAATTCACAGAATCATCTAATACACGGTCTAACAAAGATCATCTAATTTATAAAAAAAAAACATTAGAAGGATACAGTCATTAGTCATATATATATTTTTGTCTCGCTTACACATAATCACGAGAACAGTGTATTTATTTTCATTAGTACATTTACATTACATTATACGGTAAATATCTATAAACAAGAAATTACCGCCATTTTGTTATGACATATTTGTTCATAAATATAAACTAATATGTACATATATATCAAGTATAATATCTTCATTGTAAGCTGCCAATAGCTACTAACATCTATCGAAAGAGTACTAGATACACAATCCCAAGCAAGTCTCTTAAAACTATCATCAGTGTTTAGTTAATTATTCCAGTTGAAATAAATATACAACAATGTAAATTGAATCTTAAATGCAATGCTTTAAAGATGTTTTCATAAAAAAAAGAAAAAGCGCGCTCAAATGTTCAAATAAGCGCTCATTCGGTGAGGACATTTTTTGTCGCTGATTGTGTATTTAGTACTTTTTTGATCGATGGCTAATAAGATAAAATAAATGTATAACATTTGGCCACTCGCTCAAGTACACATGCTTAATCTATCCTTCCACATAATTTTCATCAAAACGAGTGGAACAAAACTGTAATATGCATAATTCAGAACACACGATCTCAACACACATCCTTAGGAATGACCTACCCCAATTATAAAAGGCGTGGAATATTTATAAATTAATTATTATGTTTTTCGTGTCAGTTTTATTGTAAATAAAAGAAAAAAGTAGGTAATACCGTAAAAGTATCAACTTGTGACTTGATTTGATATAAAATAGAAAAAAAAACGTTTTTTTTAAATTACATCAAGGAACTGGAAAAAAATTATAATTGATTTTTTTACATTTTTTATAGTTTGAAATACTGAACACTTTACACTCTTACATTATATAATGCAATATATAGGCGACACTACATTGTAATGCAAATCATAAGCATCGATCATAACTTATATGACACAAGTTATATTTATTCTAACCCACTACTTATATGTGCTGTTGTTTTATTTCCGAACTTTTAATTTAAAAAAAACTAATTTGATAAATTGTATAAGCTTAATTGCTTTCGATTCGACAATCAATTTAAAAAAAAGACAGTATATAGTATATAATAGTTTTTGTCATAGTGCAAACTCTTTTCTGACAAAAGTCACTAATGCCTGGTGAAGACTGATAAAATCTTACAATATCAGGCTACAACCACATTACTTACACTACCACATACAAATACACTATAGACTAAAACTTCATGTATAATATAACTTTAGTTCATTATAGAAATATTAATAAGAGGTCGCTTTTGCCTATACATTTCTTATGCCATCATTATTCACTATCAATAATATCTAATCCACTTTTTACTAGGAAACAAAATTTTAAAATAAATTTAAAAAATCAAACAAACACCCCTTTATAATAAGGAAATTATGCATGAACCCTTATTTAGGGGTTTGTATAAGGGTAACAAAATGACATAAATGGCAGATATAAAACAACAGCACGTCCACATAAACAAAATAGAGATTCACCTATACTCGATAAGGCAATGCACTACGCTGCGTCACATCCTTGAAACCCTTGTAGTAAATGTAGTAGAATATTAGTGATTATTTCAGCCCGAGCACATTTCTGAGTGTTCATCCCAGGCCGCAACCTGGAAAAAATACAAATGAGGATATAAAGAGATATTTAACTTTGAATGCCTCGTTGAGTTGGCCACTTTTAAGCTTTAGCTAACATGTAAGAATACATTTCAGGTTGTTTATAAAATTTCCTACAGTTTGGATTATCAGTTTTACATGGGGTAATGATTCTGCTTCTTTTCTATCAAGGGATATTATACAAAAAAATATAAAAGAAAAAAGTCCAAAAATTAAACAAAAAAAATTACAATAAAGACAATTCCAATGATACTATCTATACCAATAAAATTGGCGTAGCAACCCTACAAAAAAAAAAGAATATACACCCCTAACCCTATCACCTATGCCCATGCGTATCATTAAAATAAAAAAAACCCCAATCCATCCCTGACCTGACAGTCCCGCGAGCAGTACCACTGGTTGGCGCAGCCGGCGCACACGAACTGCGCGAGGCGCGCGCGGCAGCCCTGGCACGTGGGCGCGTCGTCGCCGCCCTCGTCGATCACCAGCCGCCCGCTGGCGCCCGACGCACCAGACGCACCCGATGCACCCGACGCACCGGACGCACCCGATGCACCCGATCCCGCGGATTCTTCTGATGCACCGCTCTCTTCTTCCTCCTGGGATAAAATGAATTAATGAATTTTTTAAATAAAAGATGTGATTATTTAATGTTATTTTTCTTATTTAATAATTCCCTGTTTGAAAGTTTTTAACTTTTTATACGTAAAAAGAATAACATATCAGTGATTTTTTTTGACACTAAATAGGAATGTTAACAGACTATTAACTTTTTTATATTTTTAAAAGGTTTTATTTTTTATAAAAAATTTAAACGTATTTTAAATAAAACTTATCTTTTCGACTTTTTCCAGACAATGCCACCCACAACTAACACTATCTGTAACAAGTATATGACTATATACAATGACCTTTGAAACGTTACCTTAGTCTCTCCCGTGACCATGGTTGCTGTAAAGCATTCGAAACGTCGGGAACCAAAAATCAAAATAAATCCGCGAAAAAATCCGAAAAGATAATTTTATTTAAAATTTAAAACATTCGCTTAAATCTAAGAAAATATTACCAGATAAAAGTGCTCACCAGTTGTACAACTTCAGCTTTCTCTGGCTGTGGTTCAGGCTGGGCGGGCTGCACCGGCGTAATTGTGATCTCGCCGCAATTCTGCAAACATTCACACATACATTTATATCCTTGTTATATAAAATTTTATAATATCCAGCACATATGTACATGGACACATTTAATATGTCTTATTTCTCAGTTGACATGTAAGATTCCATTTTACATACATACGTATTACGTATATATCACCAGTTATTAATGAGTCTGTACTACAGGTATGTACTTGCGTCTATATGATTTTTAATTAATTAATATTAAAATAATACATTTCATTATTAATTTCATAAAAAAAATTGATTCTAGTGTTATTTGCGCTACTAGTTCTAAATACTAGACCCCTTTACACTAACTTGCAAATGTAATGAAAAATGAAGTGGCATTAATCAATGAGTATTGCCATTCTTAAAAAAAATAAAATGAAAAGGCACTGGCTGGTTATAAAAGGACTTAGATACTAAATTTTGAATTTGGAATAACGGCCAATCAGGACACCAATCGTTTGTAATCTGTGGAGGTACCTTGGCCTGACCGAACGGCAGTGGCGCGCTCTGTTTCCGTTCGGGCGACGTGAGCAGTTTAGCCAACGTCGACGAGTAACTCTGAGACGCGGGCGCCTGCTGGAAGGTTGGCAACACCCATTCAAGCTAATTCATTTAATTATGCAAAGCTTATGGGGATGGACTGTGATGTTTTATCTATGAGTTAGATGTATCTGTATGTATATTATATAAAAAGATAATCATTAGACAAAGTCAAGATTGCTATTTTAATCATTATCATTAAAGAATTGCCAGAATATAGAAAAATTTGCCCGTTTTATTTGAATATCATACAATAGGCCCATCCCCATCGCAAAAGCCGATACTGTAAAGACCTTCTTATAAAGGGCAAATACTATAAAAGTGCATTTCACAAATGGTACACTAAAATGACTGGAAACTGTCAAGCGATAATGACACCCGAATCAAAATGTTGCCATACGCGAAGTTCGATGTAGTATTACATACCTTTGTCAATATGCCGTGTAGCAATGAGTTCTGTTGAGATTGTGTTTCTTGACTGGTTGTGACGGGAAGGAGAGATATTTCAGGGTACGGAGGTGGGGGTGGCAGCCTAGGACTGGAAGCCGCTACTCTTTCAGCTTGTTTTGACATGTGGGGTTCTTCGTTCCTCTCCTGTCGTCTTCTTCCATCAGGTCTTACATGGTGATCAGGTCTGTTCAAGGTTTCTACCGGTCTAGTTGGCATGAGAGTATTTTGCTGCATGTTCGCAAATTGTACGAGCACATCTTTAAAGGAGAGGCCGTTTGGAAGACCACCGGCTTGTATCTGTTGAAGCCGTTCTAACATTGCTTTTTGATTCTGGAATAAGAAAAATGCGAAAATATAAATATTTACTTTCATTTTTTGTTATATAAGGAACTAACAATGACTAATCTAGTTTATGTAGCATGAAGATTATGTATGTCAAACAAAGCCAGATTTAGAAACAATAGAAATAGAACCCACTTTTGTGGTTCAGTAGATTTGACTCGTGGGTAAGTCCCACAATTGGCCAGTGTGGTGGACTAACGCCTGATTTCCTTCGCATAAAAGAGTGGCCAGGACCCAACAGTGGGACGTTAAAAAGGCTGAATTATTATAAATTATAATCATTTTTATTATTTTATGTTTGGATATTTAATTTAATGTTTGGATATATTAATATATATTTTGTTTCTTACTTCGAGAAATAAGACACAAAATGTTTATTGATATACCCAAACATTAAATTACAATAACTTATACAATCCATTCAAAACAAAAACAAAGTTAGAAACAACAAAATGACCAACAAATCCTCCAAGACTCGGACACTCGGAGTAATTGAATTGATATAATGCCGCGAAAAGGGGTCAAGGATCGATGCTCGAGCCAGACGCTACCGTTCTCAATATTGATATACGATTACGATGAATTAGAACATATGTCTTTTATTGCTAACCCTACAGAATCCTGATGTCACACACAAAAAATGGTCGCGGGTTCGACGCCTTTCTTGTTTTTTGTTTGAAAAATCATAAATTATTATTACTATTATGTTACATAACCACTATAAAGTAAACAGTGTAGTTATATATGATTAATGGCTTCAAGGAACTCTATTATAGAGATTTAAATCCCATCCCATATAAATGCGAAAGTTTGGAGGGATGGATGTTTGTTACTCAATTACGCCAGAATAAAAATGAAATACTGTTCGTTAGTAAGTGCACCACTTGAGAACGGCTGGATCGATTTGGCTAACATTTTTATTTTAATTGATCGAAATAGTCTGAATATGGTTTTATGGGGAAAAAATAAAAAAAATGCCCGGAAAATTGGGAAATTCGTTTAAAACTGTAAGTGAACGCAAACGTAACAAAAAAAATTTGGACAGTAGGTATGTCTCTCGGGATATCTAGGACGCAATAAATATACCGAGTTTAATTAATTAGAGAATTTGTTAGTCATTGCTTAGTCGAGTACCTAACGTTAAAAAAATAAAGGAGTAGTAATAGCGAGACGCTTTAATCCCTCAACGACCGCGAACACGCCGGCGTTACAGTTAACAATAGATTTCTTAGAAATTTAATTAATTTCTTAGACATTTACCTGGAGGTGTTAATGTGATCTCAAAATATACTTTTTTGAAGAAATTCATTCAAAACTAACTTTTAATAAAATTCAATGAGAATTCTACAAGCACCCTTTAATGGTCTCAGAAGAAATGATTGATATGCATATATATATATATATATATATAGACGACACGTTTGGCTCACTTTGTAGTGACCCTACTTGCTGTGCCATTCATTTGTGTGATGAGCACGAATATTTGTACTCCAGTCATAGATGTTTATATTTATAATATGTATGTATTTAAAGTTATATATGTGTAGTGTATCAACTATCTGGTATCCATAACACAAGCCTCATAGCTTAACATGAAACCAAATGTGTGTTAATGTCTCAACATATTATTTAATTGAGATTTAAAGGTTATATTCAAAATCGTATTGGATTTGATCTTTGTTTTTATAATCTGTTAATATCAGCATTCATATCATTTTTTACCTACATTTTGTATAACTGGTTTCGTCATTTAATAGACCAAGGTCAAGATATGACTAATTAATGAGCAGAACTGACACTAATCTTAGGCAGAAATATAAAAATTGTTTTAAATGATGATAGAACAAGAATACTTCTACTATATTTATATAATATACATACATATATTTATACTAATATTATATAGAGGAAAGATTTTTTTTGTTTGTTTGTATCGAATAAGCTCCGAAACTATACATAGATTTAGATGAAATTTGGTACGAAGATAGTTTGAGACCCTGGGAAGGACATAGGATAGTTTTTATCCCGGAAATCATTCCTTAAGGTGGTGAAAATGGGGATGAAATTTGTATGGGGAAGCAACCTAGGGACGAACTCGAGCGAAATGAGGTGAGTCGCTAGTGTATAATAAAGACTTTTCCTTTGTCTCGCCATCACGTAAAAACTATTGAACGTACATATATCTATGACCAATCGACACGGGATCGTCTTTAGATGATTTTAAGATATTTATTTTTTGAATTCCATACGCTCTTCACCATTTTTTTATGTACTTTCATAAATATTTTTTCCCGCCAATAAAAACGAAAGTGACACTTTTTTTGTTTTTTATTATCTAAGTAAGTAAGTAATTTATACTCGTAAGTGAGAAACCTAAATATACCTGAACGAACAAAAGAAACATTTACGTACGCCCAGCAAAGCGGGCGGGTGACGGTTAGTGTAGCATATGTGCAAGACTCCAAATTAAATTTATATATTGTATACTACCTGACCCGATAGAATTTATAATTGAGATCATATAAAAATTGTACAGAAAGAAGCACATTCAATTTGTCTCGAATTTCATAATGTTCTGGGTATTTTTTCAATTATTTCCCTAAAAACTTTACTTGCAATATTACAAACATATTTAAAAAAAATGCCAAACTGTTAGGGCCGTTGCCGTTCTTAATTTATGTGCTCATCAACGGACAATATTTCATTTTTATTATATAATATTTTAATATAAACAAAATGTCCTTAATTTGAGCGCAAGGCAGCGATAAATGCAGCCTAGTTACAATGACTTTTTTACAGTCAATAAAGTCACCAAACAAACAATCCAACTCTATAAAAATAACCCTATCTATTTATAAAAATATCATCAGAATTGATACATCCTGCGAACTCTCATACTTACCCCATACAATACTGCCTGATTGAAACAACCCTCACTTTTAAAGTCGGTTAATAAAATAACGAATTATAATTACCATATCCAAATTATTGAAGAGCATGTTGAGATTGCTTAAATTGTTCATACTATCGACTTTGGGCGCTATCGGGCGAGGAGTGTTCAACATATTGGGATTCACTATAGATTTCATCCTTCTCCCGCGTCTTGGCGTTATTTCGGGGTTTCTTTGCCTATAGTCCGCTATTATTGACTTCACATCTTTAGTAGGTCCTTGACGACCCATTGGCATACCAAAGCTTGAGGGTAGTTGCCCATTCATATCCCGGGGAAACCCTGGCATAGGACCTGGCATCATCATAGCTTGGGGATACACTGGCTTCGGCATAGATTGCATATGAGCAGCTTTATCGTACGGAGGTGGCAACCCTGACATGGGATTGAAATGGGAAGTAACTGGCATTACAGGTGGTTGTATTATAGGATTCATTGCAGACCCTGGCTGTTTGATGGCAAGACCTGATATCTCATCACTTTTATCAATCGCCAAGTTCTTCGGCTGATTGAGATAGTCAAATGGGTCAGTTCTCTCAGAGCCATTGACGTCTGCGCTTTTTTCGAATGACAAAACTTGTTTCCGCCTTAAGAGCCTTAACAAAATTTCCTCCTTAACTTTCTTTAGATGTAATATGTTGTTCCATTCATGTTCCTTTTTCTGTGCCAGTTCCCTTAATGTCTGGATTTCTGAGAGTAACTGTTCAGTGTGCCTTTGTATTTCATCTATATTGTTTTTGGTGGCTGTCTGTATATAGTCATTTATCATAATGTCATGTTGTGGAAAAGTTTTCTCTACTTCAGCACACAGCTTTTTCAGAGGCGATTCTGTGTCAATCTCTTCACTAGAACGTCTTTTCGTTGCTTGTTCCTCCTGAGGAAAAATGGGAAAATTAATTACTTTATTGAAAATATGAAACATATTTCATTCGCATTTCGCTGGCACAGTCTGTTAACAGAAAAATTGTCAGTTAGAAACAGTGAAGTTTGTATAAGTGAAAGGATTTATAACATAAAAGATTCCGACGAATTGAGAACCTCCTCCTTTTTGGAAGTTGGTTAAAAAGAAGGTTTATAGTAGACTTAGTAGTAAGGCTTATAGTTAGACTCGCTTGGCTTTACTTAGATTTCAATTGCACTCTACCCACTTTTGCATTGAACGGAACGAAATAAATAGTACCTATGTCCTTTTTGGCTATATGAAATGAAATAGAACTTTATTCAATAGACTTATTACAAGCACTTTTGAATCGTCAATTGAGAGCGTCAGTGTAGTCAGACCGTGAGGAAGCTATCACCGGCTCGGAAAGCAGTTCTTCTGAGAAGAGCCAGCGAGAAACTCAACAGTTGCTCTTTTAAATATCGAAGTTACATTGATAAACATAATATTACAGATAGCCCACACAAGAGTCAATATATATATATTAATTCCACACATTTTCATCAACAAGAAACTCTTGAACAGCTTTGCTCAATAAAATATTCTTAATTTTATCTTTAATTTTTGAAAAGGTATATTTAGGACAGTTTGTGGAATTTTATTATATATGCATTTCATGGCCCATGAAAAATTTATTCACCTTTGGAGTCAAAATCTAGGCGTAATAAGCTTATTTCTATTCTTAGTGTTTATTGTGTGTCTGTTGCTGCTTTTTAAATAATTATTAATTTTTTTGCGAAAAAATAATACATGCGCAAATATCATATTCTTTGCACATATTGATTATAAAGAGGTGAACAACAAGCAAATATTCTCAATTTCGGATTTAAAATATAGACATCACTTACTACCTATTATATAAGCGACCAGTTTCTTGTAAATCAAATTCAATGACATTCACAAGTGCTTACTTGAATGTTACTTGAACACAATATTTCCTTAATACAAAAACAATTAAAGTTATGTAAAATACTGTTTAAAATTTTCTTAACTTAAATTCTGCCATCATAATAAAGAAGGCCCTAACAATTTGTTCAAAAATGATTTAAATGCAGATTCAGAATCAGCAAAAACATGCTACTTGATAGTCTTACTCATAAAGTTCTATGTCTTATGAATCCGGAGATACCATAACCATTCACGTACAACGGGCAAAGCTGCCTAAGTACGGCTAAAGCCGTGCCAGAAGAAGAAGACCATAACCATCTTCATGGTAACTATGTCAAAACTAGTAGTAATTTTGACATACGAGACTTCAAATATCTCGAAATCAACTTTCACAAAGTTGCGGCCTTATTTTTTGTGACACAAGAATTGTAATTAGATATTATTTAAGAAATACTAGACCTTGAGACTTACCCTTGTTTGGGCCCTAGGTTTTAACAGTAACATACCCTAGGTTTAACAGTAGCCTTAGATGTGGTAGTCTATCTGTTTACATCCAAATTCCTCTAGCTGTTTCAGATTGAAGGAGTAACAAACATACATAAATACAAAATGTTGCATATATAATAGTGGTCTGTTTAAGTTAAGCTTATCTTATAAATTAAAATATGTATTTAAGTTAATTGTTTTTGTCAGTGAATTAAAGGCTATATACATACAGTTGTTTTAAAGTACTGTTTGAGGAATTTAATTACTCTTTTACGAGTTTCAGATACCTTTTCATTTATTTGCATTAAGACACAGAACAATAAACAGATAAATAAATTAATACAAATTACCTGTTGATATACAATAATAAGGTGAATATTTTTTTCCAATCTTTTTGGATTCTTTCAAGCATTTATTTTAATTTTTGATTCAAGATGTACAACGATGATTGCCTGTAAAGCAATCGAAACATCGGGAACCATAAATCAAAATAATCCAAGAAGATAGTTTTATTTAAAATGTCAAATATTCACATAAATCTAAGAAAGTATTAAGATGATATAATGTTAAGATGTTATATACATAAAATAATTTTCCAACTAGCGAGTTCAACAAAAAATCTAATCTCTAGCTAATGCAGCACATATTCGGACAAGATTTTTACTACTTTCCACTTTGTATACTTCAGAAACATTAAATTTAATGGAAAAATACAATAATATATTATAGGTTATAATTTTTACTATAAATAAGATATATTAATGCAAATAAATAAAAAAAAAACAGTTTTAGCATTGCATAATGGAATATTTTGTTTAAAAAAAACGGTATATTAAACTTTTATAATATACATACATACATTATGTACGTATACTATTAATGTTTATTATACAGTTTTTTTTATACATAAATTATTTTACCTTAGTTACATCACCATTTATAGTATGCACAACTTTTTCTTTTTCTGACTTTTCAACCAGCTGGACATCTGTCATTTCCACATCAGGTTCTTTTTCCACTTCAATTACTTCCTTAGGACTATCTTTGACTTCAATAGGTGTGGGATCTGGCTCCTTAATATCTATGACTAAGGGCTGCTCTGTTTCATCTAGGATCTGTTCTTCTTGTTTATGATCATTATTGAGCTCTACAGTAATATTTTCTTCGGGCACCTTGATCGGATCTTCTTTTATAGTATCTAAAAATGGAAAACTCTTTAGATTTAACAATATCAAATCAAAACATAAATAATAAAGATAAGGAGTCGGTTTTTTTTATTATTTTGATTATATAAAAATTACATATTTCTTTAAATGTAAAAACCTATTAATGATTACTTTATACATTATTTTAATGAACAGTAGAAGAGGTTAAGCAGTTTTTGAGAACTCAATCAAAGAGAGCAAGATTGTAAGACATTGGTAAATCAAATATATTGTACCTTTGACTGTTTCAGTTGCTTGTAAAGTATCACTGTCTTTATTCTGTATCTCACTTACAAGCTCTTCTTTGGCATTGTCATCACAGTTGTCCTCACGTTCAGTTTTAACGTCTACTACAACCAATGGGTCCTTCACATCATCATCAATCGACAAAGGATCAACTTCATTTTCATTCTCTACTTCCGGCGTGGGAGACACATCGGCTCCCAACAACCGATCTTTAGGAGATTCCACTATTTTAATGCCTATATCGTTCATGTTTATTTACATGCTTCCGATTCACAAGTCACAATGTCAGCACGCCGCACAAAGGTTCAATGACTTTGAAATTATCCACATAATCATTATTACACTCTAAATCACACCGCTATTAACACGACCTAGTTATTTGCATTTAAATGCTGTATAAAAACAACGCACAATCCATGTAATTAGAATATTTGAAATTTATTTTCCATATTGGGAGACTTCACTATGCAACATCAATTGAAGCCATGAACTTTTGGGTCAAAATAACTGATTTAGTAACAGTATAAAATTAATATCTTAATATTCAAATGTGTTCTTCATGTAACATTAATATGAAATATGGCGAGTTATGTTACTATTTTTTTATTAAATATATTTAGAAAAATAGTCCCTTCAGGCGAAGGACGCAACACGCAATCACAGATAAAAAATATTTCGATTTGGACTTTGGTGTTAAAATTCCTAAAACATGTCAGTTCCAAAAAATAATAACTTAATTATAATTAAATTAATTATTATGTATTGGTATTCATTTTATTTACAATGTAATGAACTTTTTATAAAAATTAAATAGACATTTTTTCAGAAGCTAAATTAGTAAATAGTAATATAAACAGCATAATATTAATGTTTCCATCTTCCGGCGGAAATGCTTATATTCATAAAATTATTGAAATTACTTCTTTGTAATGGTAAATGTCAGACGTTTTGTTATATTTTATACTTTAAAACTATCTCATTCAGATCTTTATACACGTGTTTATTATATTGTAAAATACAATTATAGAGGTAGGTAATACATTTTAAATAACGCGCTTATTCGTGTGACAATAAGTGTCATATAAGCAAAGTCAATATATACAACTAGAGCTGTACTTCCATGTTCGAATATCGATTTTGAATGTTTATATCACAATTATTCTAAGTAAAAAATTAGGCTTTATAAAGTTTTTTATTTTCTAACATGATTACCTCTTGCCTTACGGTGAAGGAAAAACATCGTGAGGAAACCTGCATGTCTGAGAGAACTTAGCAAGTTTTCGAAAGACATGTGAAGTCCGCCAACCCGCACTTGGCCAGCGTGGTGGACTATGGCCTGATCCCCCTTGTATTGAAGGGAGGCCTGTGCCCAGCAGTGGGACGTTAAAAAGGGCTGAATACAACAAAGTTTTTGTAATAGTGCTACGTAGTTAACCAACTTTAAGATTATGAAATAAACTCGTTAAAAATCCTTCATTAAGTACTGTTAAAAATGAAATAACATTTTTTGTAATTTTTCTCAACAGAATAATCTGATCAATAAGTTAATTTTATTTCAACTAAGTCATTGTTAAAGCTAAATGTACGAGTACCATAGAATATAATTAATATATTCTAGTTTTAAATTGAAAAACATTTCTTGTGTTCATTATTTATCGATTTATTATGTATTTTACACTGACATCGCCGGAGCCGGTCTTCGTGAATCGTGATTACTGATTCGTGACTTATTTTTAATACTGACAACACCACGACATGATGAAATAAAATAAAATGAAAAAGCAAATGGCTGACTAGAAATCGACGTTCTTGAATTTGCACTAAAAAAGAATCTGATGTAATTACATGAATTATGCGCAATTTATGATCATGATTAGCAAAATAAAGCTACTGAAGCTTTAAAGAAATAGATTAACATTATATTTGCGGCATTAAGCCAATTTAAACTACAGAGATATATAAATTCATATCTAACCCAAATAAGTATTTCGCAAAAATAAGAATCCTGCCTTCGACGGACCCACGTCCGTTTTTTGTCAAGGTAAGTTCGTTTTGTTTATTTTATTGCGCCTCATATTTGCATGGCTTTATTTAAGTTGGTTACTTGAACTTTTAACTAAATCAAATTTATAAAAGATAATCAATTATGGTTATTTTTAGGGATAAAATGGTTGTTATTTGCCTTTATATCAATCTTTTGATATTGAATACTATCAATATGTAGTAATTTATTTAAATTACTTTAATTATTCAACGTTACGGAATTTATGAACTCTAATGACCTTTTGAATTAAAGTACCTACCTAAACCTTAAAGTTCAGTGATATTATATGTATGTAACTTTGTGACATATCTGAGTGTTGACGTCGATGTTAATTATTTATTTTTTTATAGTTCATGTGATGTGAAAATCGACTGGGCGGAAACCGCCCAAGTCGACGATGGATCGGAGCTATGAGAAACGGCACAGCAAGCACCATAAAGAAAAACACAAGAAGCGGTCCCATAAGAAATACAAGTCACACTCTGGTGGTACTCATGAACAATCTTATGCTACTATAAACTCTGTTAAGCCTCTGGTGGAGTACTCTGATGTCAGTTCAGAGGACCTCTCGGCCCCAGAGGCCGGCGAGATTGAGAGCGAGGCCAGTTCTATTGGCAGACATATCGCCGACGATCTCGATAGAACCAGAAAGTCCCATTCTATAAGAACTTTTCTCGACAACAAGATATCCGTGACGACCACGAGCCGTCGTGCTGCCGAGGAATACGCACTGACCCGTGATTCTTCTTCAGCAGTAAGGAAGAGGCGCGCCGAATATGAGGAGCCAGTGCCAGAGTTCGAGGACCACAGATACAAAAAGAAGAAAGACAAGCGTAAAAAAGACAAAAAGAAGCGTAAGAAGAAGTCTAAGCACCATTCACGATCAGCAAGCTTAGAGAGCTTGTCTCCAGATGACATTGTACCAGTGGTGACACCCATGCGTGCAGTAACCCCACAACGCTATACCCAAGTGCCTATCAGTGAATGGGAGAAGGGGTCATCTCCTCTGAGGAATGGTGGCTCTTGTTCTCCAGTTTCTCCATCAACACCTCCATTGATGCGAGATAGGCATGACATCTCACCGAGGCATAGGTCCATGCATAGAGAGCCATCACTGCATAATATTATCCCATTCTCTCCACATAGGGATAGATCTCCTATTATAAGGTGAGTGAAGTTGATACTTATAAGTAAATTTGATTATAATTTTAAAGTATGCCATTTTTTAATACAATATGTTTGTAATCAAATGTTATTATTATATATGAATGTAATTGAATTAACTAATAAACATTTAATTTTCATGCTCTCAGTATTGACTTGAGGTAAGTTTTGCTAACAATTATTTGTAAATTAGTTCTGTTCATTTTAAATTCATTTAGTTCTGTTCATTTGAAATTACATACCTGTTTCATTAAAAATGCTGTTATTTGCTGTAACATTAAAGTTATGCTTAATATGTATTGAAATATTTTGATATATTAAGTTTTTATTCAATCAATTCATGCTTCTAAGCACATTCAGGAATAAAATGTAAGTAACACTCAGAATCAAATAATTATCTAATATATTAATGTATAGTATAAGATCCAGCATAAAAAAAGCATCTTTTTATTATGTGATAAAGTTAACACAAAATGATGTGTAAATATTATTACCTATCATTTTTCAATGTTTTTAGATTTGATTAATTTCTAAGTAATAAGTCTCTAATTTTAATATGCAGTTGTCTTGACCTTTACTTTAGAATTTGTTTTTTTTTCATTTGATATTTATTTATTGCATATACATAAGATACTGCTTTATATATACATTACTATACATGCAAATTTAGTAGTACATTATTGCGGGACGTGGGTTAGCGAGGGAGATAAACGCCGTGTATTGAAATTTCAAATGAAATGAACATCAATAGACTAACTAAAGTTACGAGTATCATATATTATTTTATAGCACGTGTGATCTAAAATTGCTATATCAGTGATCTTCCAAAAATCTGTAATAATCTTTTCGCCAGATTGCTAATGTTAGTATTAGCAGAATCGTAATTCGTTGTAGATATATTGTGCAATGTAAAAATAATTATAATCTAAAAAAGACTTGATGAGGAAAATAAAATTATAAGTTAAACATTTATTTTTTATAAGTAATAATTCAGATTTTGTAACCTATTGAATATAAATATATTTAGGACTTTTACATTCAATTGTCGAAATACCTTCATAGGGGTAAAGTTATTGTTGCATAGTGTAAAAATAGTATAATAAAGTCATAGATAAGCATTACTTAAGTGCGAGTTAAGGCCACACTCACAGTAGACGGTGCTGTAAACCATTCCAGGGACTTCCCCCCGACGAGTTCCTCCACAGTAATAATTTATAATTACTATACGATAATTTTAATATAAATTTATTCGTGTCAAAGAGCGATTTCAGGTCATTGAAGAAATTATCTTTTTGCTAAATTTACATATTTCGTTATTAATAGTAAAGTGATACATTTCTTATGTTGGATCTTAGACTAGTCTAGCTATCTGTAATTTGTTTGTGATGATTGCAAATTGCCGTATACTTAGAGCGAGTACTCATTATTGCATGAAAGTAATTTAGAAGTATCATTATTTAATACTTTTTTTCCTTTTATAGATTTTTTTTTAATAAAATAAATTTACATGTTACTTGTTTTCGATTTTTACTTCGATATTACGAGTTCGATTCTCGCATGTGGTAAAATATACATACGTATATGTACTTTGACCGAATAGACGCGTATTTTGATCTGATGAACAAATAATATAAAGCACTACATTGTTTAGTACCACTACACAATTGTATTTTATACTATGTTTGTATTTGTCAATCGAGGGAAAGAGATTAGATAAAATAGAAAATAATGTCTGAACCTATACAACCTTGTCCGTTTTTGAAGTTAGTAAAAAACTGCGTGTGTGTGCAATCTACACACGGTAGAAATGACTCTTCAGAAAAGTACCTATACCTACGAGAGAATGAGATAAATATAGTATCAGGAGTAGGATAATTATAATGTTTATTTTTTTATAATATTTTTACAAAGTTTAAAAGTTATTTTACATTTTATTGGACATAAATATACATTGTATATTATTAATTGTCATTATTTTTAATATTCTTCACTCCCTGTGTAATGTATTCTATCTCAAATAACAACGGTTACCATGGCAACGTATTCTATCTCATTCTCTCGCCGGCTTAATCCTTTATATTTATGTTTTTGTCTCTTTTTAGTGTTGCATTTCTGTTTTATCGAATTTCAAATCACAACGATTCTAAAGAAGTTTCACTTTTTGTGTTTTTCTCTTCAAAAATTGTGGAATGCCATTCGTTTTTTTTTGTTTTTTAATTTTTACATACGTTTATTTTGTAATACAATAAGTATAACAGTTTATTTTATTGCATAGCCGGCGAAGGCAGAAATCCACGACGCCCCATACGCCTCTAGCGCCGCCATATCACGAGACTGTGACGATAGATTCAGACAATGAAGAGTATGAGCGGTCCAGGCGGGAATACTGGCACGAGCAGCATCGTATGTCCACGGATGTTATGGTTATATCAGGTAATATACTAATATAAGAACTAGCGACTCATCCAAGCTTCGTTCGGGTTCGTCCCTATTTACGTTTGAACATTTAGTATAGATTGTTCAGACCAAAGATGAGATATTTTCCCTCAGTAAAAACTATCCTATATGTTGGCCCAGATAACCAGCTATCATCAAAATAAATTTCATCAAAATCCCTCCAGCGACAGACAGACAAAAATTCTAAAAACTATAGATTCGACCTCTGTTTCGATAATAATGTCTATTTCAATAAGATTTCCCAAAAACATTTAATGTACAGATTCGGCTAAGTTACAATTTTTAGGGTTCCGTACCTCAAAAGGTAAAAAAAGGAACCCTTGTAACATCACTCTCTTGACTGTCTGTCCGTGTGTCACCACCGATTTTCTCAGGAACGGGTGGATCTAGCAAATTGACAGCTACCCTGGGTCGTGTTTGTTATATGTTTTATTATTTAAAACATATATTTCGCCTGGAAAAAGAGTGAGGATGTTCACCACATAGATTAGGATCTCCTACTATTTATTCCGTATACAATACGTCACAGTCATAGTCATTAAAAAAATATTTCATATACGGGTTTGATTTTGTTACTATTTTATTATATGTATGTACTTGCAATGGTCTATTTTATGTTGAGATTTGTACTACCAGGCAACAAGAAATTGTTGTAGAGAACAGACATTTGCCGTAGTCTGGTATCGAACCTGTAAACCATTTTAGCAGACTAGTTTATCGTAAGCACTACACCAATGCGGCTGTGAAATCATATGCTAGTGCAAGTTATATTATCATAAGTCTTAACTGATAAAATTGTAGATAAAAATAATTTTAGCGTGAATTAATGTTGTAACATATGAACACGATTGTTGTCATGCCCATTAAATAAGAAATAACGACGAAACGTTTGGCTCAGTTTGTAGTGACTCTACTTGTTGTGCCAGCGGTCGCGGGTTTGGGTCCCTCTTGTATTCGTTTGTGTGAAAAGCACGAATGTTTGTACTCCAGTCATGGGTGTTTATATTTATAATATGCATGTATTTAAAGTTATATAATATGTGTAGTGCATCAACTATCTGGTATCCATAACACATACGTACATTTTAGCATGTACGGCTGCACACCCGGAGGTCCTGGGTTCGAGTCCCAGATCGGGTCAAGTTTAGTTATTGAGTCTTTCTGTATAGTAAGCCTCAGTAACAGCCCGGAGTTGGGAAGTTGGCGGTGTGTCACCCCCGTGTCTCGGGAGAGCACGAAAAGCCGTCGGTCCTGCGCCTTAACTCTCACTGTTCGTGTCGAGCAGTCGTCCCACCGGAGTATGAGAGTGACAGGAATAGAGAGGGCACTTGTGTCTGCGCGTACACTTGTGCACTATAATATTTCCTGCGCAGTTGGCTAGTCTCAATGAGATTGGCCGCCGTGGCCGGAATCGGTCAGGAGAACATCATCCATAACACAGACCTCGTAGCTAACCATGGAACTAGATGGTGCTGTGTATTAATGTTCCAACATAAATATAAAAAATACATTTATAAATCGAATAAATTTTATTTTATTACATTTAATTAATCTTTTGTGGCGATTTAGCGCAAATTTCCTATATGCAATGAGGTCAATTTTAATATATTTTTTAATATTTTGTGGCGAGTTGGGTCCGACGTCAGATGCTGTTTTTCAACCAAGACAGTGATAGCTTCCTTACAGACTGACATTTAATAAAAAAAAAAAATAACATTTCATCAATCGTTTAAAACTCTGTTTGAATATAGCATATTTTGATTTGATTTAAACGAAAAGAAACTTAAAAGCTATATCCATACGGACGAACATAGGACCTCTTCTTTTTTGGAAGTCGGTTAAATTTATCTATACTTATTATAAAAATAAGTCCCCCGGCCGCGTCTTTCTGTTCTCCTGTCTGTCCTCCTGTCTGTCTGTACGCGATAAACTCGAAAACTACTGAACGGATTTTTATACGGTTTTCAACAATAGAAAGAGTAATTCTTGAGGAAGGTTTAGGTATATAATTTATTATGCTTTTATGTAAATTAGCTGAAATACGGCGACAAATGTTGAAGAGGTCGCAAAAAATCTCGCCAAATGGGAACTTTCCACGCGAACGCCGCGTAAACTAGCAAAGATACAGTTAAGTAATGTACTAGAGAATTCAAAATCTATAAAAATGCTACAAAAAAGTCCGCGATAGCATATCTCTATCTCTTACGGTTGACTTACAATAACCACTTTTATGTTAACATTTTTAATTAAAAACATTACGTTATTTTCAAAGTTATTTTCTTTAGTTCGGTATTAATCCTTATCCAAATGAATATTTTAGTTAGCTTAGTCATTTAATGCAGATTAAAATTGCTCTTTACACTAAATCAATCAGATGAATAGTTTTTGAGATATCGTTGTTAGAAGTAATTAGTAGCGAAACATTTTTAATGCTTGGCGAGCATTGAGATGCCTACGGCGAGTCCATCCCCTCTGCCCCGCATCGCTCGACCGCCTGCTCAAGCTATATAAACCGGGCGATGTAGCGCGCGATCCTAGGATACTTTTTACCGCGGGAAAATATCTTATTTCTGAGGAAAAATACAAAAACTGCAATGTAAGAGTATACTAATATGTAACACCTAAGAATTTAGTTTTTGGTCATCTGAACGCGGGCGGAGCCGCGGGCAATGCTAGTATAAGTATATATAAAAGAAAGAAAAATAGATATATAAAAAGATATTTCTTGTTAGAGAGGATAAATACAGTAATAATTATTGTTGATTTATAGTGATGTTTGTACATATTTACTATGTGAAAAGCATTGTGCATCTGTGCACAGACTACAAAATTTATAATTTACGGATTGGTGCAGGACACATCGGAATGCACGTAAATTACCATCACTTTATAGGTGTTTTTCCTTTTGCCTGTATATTAATACCACTAAGAGTTTTTTTTTAAAAAGACAATATAACTAATCTTCTGTTTTTTTAGTTTTTTTTAACATATCTATTAAATGATTGACTTGACATAAAGGAACATAAAACAATACAAATTGTATTTTTAATTTAAACATATTGAGCGATTGATTACGTTCGTCTTATACTTGAGTCTTTCTTTTTTTTTACTGGTTTAAGCAATCACAATATTTATAACTAATATTAGCTAACAAATTAAATATTAAAAATATATCATCACGTTTTCTAAATTCTACTTACATAATATATCTCTTTAGCATATCTCCGAACTAGATTTTTGTCGCGGTTCTGTTACAATACCTAATCTATACTAATATTATAAATGTGAAAGTTTCTGAGTATGGATATGTTTGTTACTCTTTTACGCCAGAACGACTGAACGGATCTGGATGTAATTGGACATAGAACCTAGCAAGTTTTCGAAAGATATGTGAAATGCGCCAACACGTGGCCAAGTGGGCCAGCGTGGTGGGCTATGGCCTGATCCCCCTCGTATTGAAGGGAGGTCCTTGCCCAGCAGTGGTACGTTAAAAAGGGCTGCATATAATATTTTAGTTATAGGATATATGTATTTTAATTACAGATTCGCCGGTACACGAGTCCCGGTCGCGCGAGTACAGCCCGCGGCGGCATCGGCGCCGGAGCCCGAGGCGCCGTCGTAGTCGTGAGCGGGAAAGACATCGTGACAGGACTCATCATCGGTAAGAAGAGTTGATATAAAAAAATATTGTTTTCAGTTTTCTTCTTCTTTTAATGTAAATACTTTTGTTTTGTTGTTGTTTTTTTAACAAAATTTGGAAAGAACTTGCTAGAGGTTTTCCCTGAGCGTTATAATACGGAGCTCTTAAAGAGTCGTGTCCACTATTCCCTTAAAAGTGACCAATTAGGTTGTTTATTTCTTTTGTGTATATAGAAAAAAAAATACATTCGCAAAACAGATTCATTACCTTCAATATTTTGAAAATTTAAGGTACTGTTCAGCAGGGTATGAAATTATCAAGATAAATATATCTTATGATAATTATCGCGATAATTATCAAGATAACTATCAGATAATTATCAAACAGATATAAACTTAGCAATCCTTGTGTAGGTATTGGTATTTGACTACTTGCCTATCATAATTTACGTTAGAATTAATTATACAGTTTTAATAATCAAGGTAATCTTTTATTATTATTTTTTCAATATTTTGACAGATACAAACTTGGAAATAAAAACAGAATAAATTTAACTAACTATATAGACACTATTTAATTAAAGGTTTCTGCCCACAATATCGTCTCATACCATGACTGTGCTAGGGCCGTGTCAGGCAAAAAAATATCCTGTGTATTGAAAAGTATGAGACTATACCTACTAAACCGTTCCATCACCGACCAAGACCTTTCCGTCACCAACCAACACGCGTCGCGTGCCGTGCATGGAAAGGTAACAATAATTGTCGGCAAGAATATTTTGGTGGTGCCGATACGCTCCGTGGCTGGCACGCGACGTTGCCTAACCGGTGCGCGAGGACGGCGAAACGGTAAGCACACGGGTTATAACTGCGTATGATGACCGTTCTAAGCCCGTTATAAACGTGTTGTCACTTGTCGTCTAGTGATAATATTTTCTTTTAAATTATATTTTTTTTAAAACAGCGTGAACCTAGTAATATCGTGATCGACTGATGTTATTCTCTTTCTTCCTCGTCTAAAACAATGGCTATCATTGTTTATTAATGTCGGACAAGTTTCTAATAGCCATCGTATAAGGTATAGGAAATAATTTTCGTAACAAAAATATGCACTCGCTCTTCCTGACGCGGCTGCCTCATGCGAAAACACAAGTGTACTACTACGACTGAGAAAACGGGAACTACACGGATATGACACGCGGATGATACGCGAATGATACGTTCTAGTGGGCATAGTAATCCGTGTCGCTTGTTTCCGTGCCTGATAGGTTCATAGCACGGTCATGGTATGAGACGGACCGACGGTGTAGTGGGCAGACTCCTTAATGAGTGGAATATCATTCTCGTCCTCCTCAACTGTATTAACTCAGTTTACTTATTGAGTTTGTTGAGCTGATTGAGAGATTTCAGTTAGCTGATCTACAATTTGAAGAGTTACAAATTCAATATTTTCAATTATATTTATCAAAGATAATTATCAACCCATATTTATCATGATAATTTTCGTGATAATTATCAAAGATAATTATTAATGGTAATTATCGTTTCGAACCCTGCTGTTCAGAGACATTATGGAGGTAGAAAGTAGCTATATTGAAAGGCCACACAGCTTGTTATAAGACATTGACTGTGCCATGATAAATAATCGGTTGGTAAGTAATACTTTCGGTCTCCTGATCTCTATGTGATGTCTACTTCCTCCATAATCTATACATAAAATAATATTTCAATTAAGTTCAATCTGTACATTAAATATTTTTTGGAAAGTCTTATTGAAATAGTCATTATTATCAATACAGAGGCCGAATCTATCTATGGTTTTTAGATTTTTTGTCTGGTCTGTCTGTCTGTCTGTCTGGGAACGCATCATGAGAAAACCACTGGACAGATTTTGATTAAATTTGGGTTTCTCGAAGATAGCTGGTTATCCGGTTTAACATATAGGACACTTTTTATTGCGGGAAGATATCAATGAAAAATTTAAACTTAACGTTAAAACGTAACTAGGGACGAACCCGAGCGGAGTGAGTGAGTCACTAGTAAATATCCTGTTAATATATCGTTATATTTAAATATATATAGAATAAGGTTTTTTTAGTTTTATATAATATGTCCCAAAAAGCGTTGACGTCAGGCAGGCGGCCGGTCGTAAAACTTTTACCAAATTCTATCAGCAGTACAGAAGTAAAAGTAGTTTATGTCACTCTCCAGGACTCCAACTATCTCCACACGAAAAATCATGTTAATCCGTCACTTTGTTTCGACGTGAAAGAAGGACAAACAAACAAACACATTGTCACTTTTATAATAATATTAGTATGGATACTAATAATACCACTTTATTATACAAATATAATAAAAACGTTATAATATAATATATTTTTATTTTATACATAAACAGGTCACACAGCCGCAGTTCACTGAAGCGTCGCCGGTCCACGTCGCGCAGCAGGCGACGTTCGTCCTCTCCGCCGCGACACAGGCCCAGACATTCTGATACGTCGAGGGATAGGCATAGGTATTGAATATGTACATATAAATATGCACATAATTTGTTATGTCTTGACGTTTGTGATAAATCTGAATTTTTGTTTTGCACTGGAATCGACGGGGAATGGAAGTGACCATGGTATAGAAGGTGTACGTTTTATATGAGATTTCTTATGGTTTTCTTAAAAATAATGTCGAATAGTCGAATATTATTAAAAAACATGTGTTTTACCATATTAATAGTGTTAATAAATTGCAATTAGTTATATTTCAAATAATTGAAGTTATACTTCTTTTGGCACATTTGGAAAAAATTATGAGAGTATAATTTTTACGATGCGCGCGCACACCGACAGCCAAAGCGACATGATGAAGAGTTAGCTGAAAGCGTAATGATGAAATTAGCTGTATTCCTTTTACAAACAGAGAGTTGTGACGTACAGGATAAAATCTTTAGCTATCTTTGTTCTGTTACGCCAAAGAAGTATAACTTCTTACGTGCGTACATAAGTACCTACACACACGTTTTTTCTTGTTGTTGTTTTAGAAGTAAACATGAATCGCCGAGTCCCCCATCAACGATGTTACAACGCAAGATAGATTTTAAGGAAAAGATCAGCGACACAAGCCTGTTTGCAGAACTTGTAAAAGATAAACACAAACGGGCCAAGGTATGTTAATATTTAAAGCTAGAATTTATTTTTTCATATAAATATTTATTATATGAAAAGATATTTATTATATATTATAATTGTTCTGATCTTATTTTTTTTATTTTTAATAATTACAGAAACTACAAGAGATCTTAGAACAAAAGGAGGAGTCGCAAGGTGCGGCGTCAAGCAACGCTTCCATGTCCAACAACCCTGACACGTTAACTATCGATGAACTGTCTAATACCACTGCTGACAGTTTAACACAGGTATAAATAACATCGAGACAGGTAATAAATCAAGGAAAATTAGCCAAATTACTACAGATAACTAGTAAAATGTTTTCCTTTCTTGTTTTTTCTGTCTATCTGGAAACGAATCACGAGAAAACCACTGGACAGATTTTGATGAAATTTGTTATGATGATAGCTGGTTATCCGGGTCAACATATACTATAATACTTTTTACAGAAGCAAAATATTTCATCTCTGAGTAATCTATACTAACCGATAAAACCTAGTCGCTGTTGTTCTTTGTATTGTTGTTGTAATTTATTGTTTTTTTTTATATTCAAAGATAATAATTTATATTTCAGAATGTTGTACGTACTCGTAGTGCACTACACTGTTGTACTACATTGTAAAACACATTTGTTTATATATAAATGTTTCCAGACCTCCAAAGAAAACGGCGATAACACCAGCATAAAGACAGACGTCACTGATATTCCTATGCCCGTGCCACCGCCTTCAGAGGACTCGGAACCACCACCGCCGCAACCAATAGCGCAACCGCCGCAACCGTCACAACCGCCTCAACCGTCGCAACCGCCTGAGCCGCCAGAACCTCCGCAACCTCCGCAACCAGAAACAACTGAAACCAAACCCACTGCGAATGGTGACGCTTTGGAGAGTGCCTCTGAGGTTAGTTTCTTTTCAAGAAGAAGTTAGCGATTAATCTTATTTAGTACTTGTATGGTACTATGCAAGTGGATGAAGAGGAAGCTTGAAATTAGTGAAAAGAGGTTAATTTATTGTTCTTATACTCGTATCTAGATAATTAAAATATGCACCAAGAGATATCGAAATCTTGGAGATAAAAGAGAGTCAGTTCTTAATTTATAGACATTTTTTATTTATAATGCTCATATTACAAATATTTCTATTGTAGAAACCATCAACCCCCCAAAAGGCTCAAACACCTCCAACCACCACCAGTACAAGTACACTGCCCCCACCCCCAAAAATGGGAGGCAGTGTAGTAGATGGGGTCTTCTTCAACAACCAACAGCCCCCTCCGCCTAAACCCAAGAGCCTCACTAAGCTACCCATGCCCCCTAATACACAGGTAATAATAAGAAATCAGTATGAAATATAGTATGTTTGGTAAAACGTTTTTATTGATAAATTCATTATTCAATTATTATTCAAAACTTTCTCAAAACACATCCACTTCAAAAGACCATATTAAAAACCAGTATTTAATTTTGTTTATTTTATTATTTAAATTGTGTTTTAACATATACATATTAAATAATATATTAAATCTGTTGTAAACATTTTTTTTAATGTAAAAATGTCAGGTTGATGATCTCAAAACGTTGGCGAATGACAGTCCATTAAGTACACCTTCGCCTAGTCCTGTCAAGAAGCCAGAAAAACCAAAGAGGACGGGCATTATGAATTTGCCTATGCCACCAGGTCAGTAAAAACTTTAAATATTTAGTATTAATTTCTTCTAAATGCTGGTTACGTACTTTTGGTACAAGTTGATCTTTCATATTTTTATGTACAATACGATTCAAACTTAATGGCGAGTCTGAACATCGCATGTTCCGATGCGCAGAATGCAATATTAGGTATCAGCAGGGCGCAGAGGGATGAGACGCTGCGCCAACTATGTTCGCAGCTAATATCTGAGTTACTATTAAGCTTGCAATGAATTATAACAAGAAATAATCAATGTTTTATGTTTATCATAATATTTTTCAATTCAATTCTCTGTTAATGGCTTCAAAGCGTGCCAGCTGAGACCAGACTACTTTGCCAATGTCACGCAGAATGGAGAAGACACAAGGGAATCATGATATTTTTAGTCTTTAGATGAATGAGAATGAATAAAGAATGGTTTGACAATAAAGTTTTACCATATTAATATTTTATTGCACATTAATATTTTTCAAAGAAACTAATGTTTCTATAGAAGTTAATATATCATTATACATATTTAAATATATATAGAATAAGGTTTTTTAGTTTTATATATGTTAATATTTTTTTCAGTCATTCCTGGGTCTGAGGAACTTAGTGGTGATGAAATGGATGGTTCCACTCCACCACCAGCCCCAAGACCTACACACACATCTGGTACTAACGCTGGCAGCGTTACACACCACCAGTATTCTCATGTGTTCAGTTCAAGAAAGTCTGGCACAAGTGCAAATGTATGTATTTGCTAATGACTAAGACCTATTAAATATACAATTAAGTAAAAAATCATACTAACAAATAAGCTCTTAATATTTTATTGTAGTAATATCTCTTTTTTATTAATTATAATTTAATTGCCTTATAATTATGTACTTTTTTTGCTTTTACAGCCTGGTTCAAAACTGAAGAGGCCACGCATTTTAAAAAGAAGAGGTTCCAAAGTAGTTCCTGTAGTGACACCAACACACCATGCCAAGGACTGGGGGGAGAAGTGTGTTGATGGCTTCCAGGTTAATCAATTTTTAATATTAATAAATAATGAAATTTGAATTGTTTCTTTATAATCAATTAATAATAAGTTTTATTATTATTTAGGTAAAATCTTTATCTGAATTGACTTGGCAACTAGTGGCTTGCATGTTCATTCATGCAGATCTGTATGTCCTGGGTTCAATTTGTCCGACTGGTAGTTTAGTTATTTGATTTTTTAATTAGAGAGTGCACATGTGTTTGAACACATTCTAGTGTGTTTTATAACACTTGTGCAGATGTTAGTCTTATTGAAAATTGCCTTCATGAACAAAAACTTCGTTTAATGAAATAGTAATAATGACATATTTTTAAATAAAGTTTATAATCTTCGATTTTTTTCAAATTTATTTAGATTTTGAGTTTTATTTTGATATATTTTTTATTTCCAGGTTATAACTCAAATTGGTGAGGGCACATATGGTCAAGTATACAAGGCTCGTGATAAAAACACAGACCAACTAGTAGCACTTAAGAAAGTTAGATTAGAAAACGAGAAGGAGGGTTTCCCCATAACGGCTGTCCGAGAGATCAAGATCTTGAGACAATTAAACCATAAGAATATAGTCAATTTGAGGGAAATCGTCACTGATAAGCAGGATGCTATGGATTTTAGAAAAGTAAGTACGTTTTATATTAGTTAAAATAATGTTTTTTTTAATGAAAATTAATTTAACTCTGAAGTAACTTTATCAATAGTTCTTATTATCATTTTTATAAAAAAACTAGCTGACCCGGCAAATGTTGATCTGCCATATATAATTTATGGGGGTGGGGGTTGGGGGATGAAAAAAACTTTACGACATTCTCATACCTACCAAATAAAAAAAAAAACATTAAAATTGGGCAAGCCGTTTCGGAGGGGTGCGACCACAAACACCGCGACACGAGATATTTATATATTAGATTACTCTTTAAGGATACCATTTGTATATTACATATACTCTAAATCCTTCTCCCTGCAATAGTTTGGATTTCTTTGAATTTTTTTTTTTTGTTTAATTTTATTTTTATCAAAACAGTTACACTTAAGTTATCTAATTAAAGTTTCATAATTTAATAAACAATTTCAGGACAAAGGCTCCTTCTACCTGGTATTTGAGTATATGGACCACGATTTGATGGGATTGTTAGAATCCAAAATGGTGGACTTCACCGAGTCTCACAATGCATCCATCATGCGACAGCTACTGGATGGACTTGCGTATTGCCATCGCAAGAACTTCCTGCATAGAGACATCAAGTGCAGTAATATATTGATGAATAATAAGTGAGTATGTGAATGTGACCTTTTATCTGGATACTTTTTTTTTACATACTTGGTTATTATATATTTATTGTGCTAATACATGCATTTGTTGAATTTTTTTTGAATAGTTACAAAATTGTATAAATATAATTTCTGTATAGATCAATAGTTTATTTAAATTGGTATATCTGAAGGAATTTAATCTATAATTAATGATTTAAGAAATATATCAATAATTTGCCTCAAAAATAAATAAGATAGAACTCGAAGAGAAGAATTGATGCTTGAAATAGTACATTTGTTATTTATATGCTAAGGGTATTGATATATATTTAAGCTGACTGGATATGACTTTATTTTTGTCTCTACATTTATATCTATTTTTTTAGTTTAAAAAATAAATATTGTATAAATGTATAATTCAAATTACAGAGGAGAAGTAAAGCTTGGAGATTTTGGTCTGGCTCGGCTCTGGTCGGCTGAAGACAGAGCGCGACCATACACAAACAAAGTGATCACACTCTGGTACCGACCACCTGAACTATTGCTAGGTGAAGAGAGGTATGGCCCCGCAGTGGACGTGTGGTCCATGGGATGCATATTGGGAGAATTGTTTATTAAACATCCCATATTCCAGGTAAAGTTGGTTTGTTATATTTTAATTTTAATAGTATTTGCTTGCGAATTTTTATTTAGACTATGTACTTGCTTTTTTAAATTAAGAGATATGTTGTGTGTTTAAAGAGAATTTTTGCGTGTATTGACGTTTTTTTGTTGTGTAGATTTTCATCTTATAAATAAAAAATATAAGAAATATTTTTTTTATTGCAATAATATTCATGTGTATACAAAATATATAAATTCATTTATTCTATATTCTGTATATTTTAAAAAAGCTATTTTTCTTAGTATTTAAAAATAATATTTTTAGGCAAGTGTAGAGATGATGCAATTAGAAGCGATCTCGCGAGTTTGTGGAACACCCGCTCCTGGTGTATGGCCGAATGTTGTTAAACTGCCTCTCTGGCACACCTTGCGTCCAAAGAGGTTCCACAAGAGATGTGTGAGGGAACAGTTCGCCTTTATGCCGGCAGCTGCTCTTCATCTCCTGGACAGGATGCTGGAGCTCGATCCTGATAGGAGGATCACGGCAGAGGAGGCTTTGAAGAGTGCATGGTTGAAAAATATTGTGCCAGACCAGTGAGTAACTTATAAATTTCATTTTATTACTAGCAACTTAAAGAAAACAGTTATCATGAGTCTACTTTAGTCAGGTTGTTCCTCATACAAAATTTCAACTTCTATTTCACTTTCTTTAAGTTTATTTTCGTGACAAAAAGTAGCCTATGTCCTTTTCAAAGGTCCAATCTATCTTTATATTCATGAAAATTGATTCAGTAGTATAGGCATAAAAACGTAACAGACAGACATTTACTTTTCCATTTATAATATTGATATAAGTAGTTTGGATAGTACATGTCTGTGTTTCTAGTTTTGAGTGTTATCTATATATATTGTAATCCAGTGATAAGGGCAATAAAGAATATTATATATTTTTAGAAAAAATATAATATATTAATAATAAGATAAATGAATCAAATATATGATAATGATCTATTAGATCTACGGTAATGATTATTATTAATAATTAAATGTACTTTTTTTTAAATACTGATTATTGCCAATTTCTAATTTACAGGATGCCAGCCCCTGAGTTACCGACGTGGCAAGACTGCCACGAGCTTTGGTCTAAACAGAGGAGAAGACAACAAAGGGAACAAGATAATACTAAACCTAAGTCGTACAACTTCCAAGAAGAAAACCAATCCGATCCCGGCTTCAAAAGCGATTATAAAAATGAAAATTTCAAACCTGCGGAGACTCAAGAGACTGTTGGACAAGTTAAATAGTATTTGGAGTATTATTACTATGGCTACTATCGCTGACCATAGACAGAGTGCTTTAGTGACAATGACACTATAGTGTAGTGTCTTTAAAAAAAACTTACAAATGGCTTTCACTACAGATAAATGATATTTGGTATAATTTATGGTTAATACCAAGACTTGGTGCTTCAGTGATAATTATTAATTTCATACTATAGTGAAGTGAATAGCAGTTATTGTTGATAGTGATGTGGCTGAAAATATAAACGGCTAATCGAATGTGGCTTTATGTAAGTATTGACTCGGGCATTACGACTGGATTGTGAGCAAGTCATAGTGCGCACCAGAATAAGTAATTACCAAAGGATTGGTACACCAGTTACCCACTATGTTTTGTATATATGGATGTATATATAGTGTATAAGTAAGAACAATTTATATTAGCTAATGTCCCCCTTTTTGTTATGATAGGTGAATGATTTTGTTTATGCTCTATTTATTGTCTATATTGACTCTTTTGCAGTTTATGGTGGCAAGTTTTGTTTGGAGTTGTTTTTCTCAGTAACTAAGTATGTATTCTAAAATGTTTTTTTTTAATTTTTGTTTTTTTTTACTTGACTTAAATACTTGACATTATTAAATCAATTTTTGTTTTCTTAAATATAATAATCTTTTTTTTATTGTTGTTAAAATTGTTGCTAGAATAATCTTTTTATTTTGTTGCAGTTATTGAGACTAACAACCCCGTCTCAACTCGTCACATACACTGCATAAGAATTATTTATTAACAAAGGCAATAAAACATCACAATAAAATGTATACATATATCAAATACTGTGATTGTACATAGTGTATGGAATTGACCTTTCCAGACTACCCTTTTAATGGAATAATAGATATAAACAAACTATAGTGTACCATTTATTTAACCCTTACCATAAACAAATTTGTTGAAAAAAAAAGTGCGTGAATGTGCAATTCACACATGGTAGAAGTGAAACGTAATAATATATATTTTGTCAGACAATAACAACGGTTATCATGGCAATGTATTCTATCTTATTCTCTCGCCGGCTTATCCTGTATAATATTTGTGTTTGACGTTTGTCTCTTTTTAGTGTCGCATTTCCGTTTCATCGAGTTTCAAGTCACACCGATTCTAAAGAAGTTTCACTTCAAAAATACTTTTTATCATTTAAACACTAGTTTAAATCGATATTAGTTGATTTTATAGTTAAAAATTGGTCGAAAACCTGTTGACAAAATTAACTCACCAAAAAAGTTTAGAAATTTTAGCTCTTATATATATAATAATGTTGATATATTAAAATATATAGTTTGCCCATATTAATTTGTGATCTTTTATTAATTTAAATTGAAAATTCCTATTTTAAGCACTAAGACCTAGTTTGCATTTAATTATCATGCATAATCTTCCTAAAATTTTATTTATTTTATTTAGACAAATCATAATTTATTAGGATTAGACAAAGTTTGATCTTTTATAGATCAGTCATTAATCTGCATATGGATAAAAGATTTGCTTTTAATGAAAATCTTCCATAAATTTGTGAGTTTAAATTCCTTAAAACAATTTTTTCTGTTTTTAGAAAACAAATGTGTAAATAAATGCCTTTTATAGTTCCATTAAGTGTTGTAATTTACTGACTTTTGTTATTATACAAGAGATCTGACAATGGTTTTTGATTTTACTAGACTAGTGTTACGACAATGTATCTGTTCAAGTGCCTATACGCCTTAGGTCGCAGGTTCGATTCACTCTCAAGGCAAATGTTTATATATATATTAATGTCTTAAGCAAATGGAAAGGATAGGAATAAAATGCTAAACACTTGAAAAGTTATTGGTGTTAAAATTCTAAAACTATGTCAAGTCTCCTATAATAACTACGAAAAAAAATATATTATGGCTCTCGGCTGGAGATGCTTGTATAATAGATGTAAAATGTATTAATAATCCAGAGTTAGGTGACCTTGTGTTGTTTCGTTGTGGAGATTTTGTTTATATGTAAAGATTTCATGGCTTTGTACTGATTGACTGCCATTTTAATATGGAACTGTTGAAATTGTTGTATTTAGAATTCATTGTTTTGGTTGATGAGTAAGGGTATTTTATTTTGACTTATGCCTTTTTCTGCAAATGTCTTATTTTGTTTGTATTTTTATGATTTTATCTGTGTTGCTAGCCCGACTTGGGCTTAATTGTAAAGTGACAAACATACACGATTTTATATTTGTTGTGCACGCCATCTATCGTATTTTAATGCGTCAAAAACATTGGGCGTAATCATAAGATATCACCTAATTTTTTACTGCAATGTAAAAAATACTTTAGAAATGCTTATATTACAAACAGATTAATGTACTAATAGACCAGGGTGGATAATTTTTAAAACCAATAAAAACTTTTTAACAAAAAAATAAAAACCGACTTCAAAAAAAAGCACTAAAAAGTAAAAAATAACTGATTGGTAGTTTTCATTTACTATACATACCTAATCAAATATTTTCGAAGTCGGTGTGCTTTGCTTTGTATGGGCTGGCACCGATTTCGAAAATATTTGATTAGGTATGTATTTAATAGGTAGGCTTTAATTACTTAGCCAAAGCACACCGACTTCGAAAATATTTGATTAGGTATGTATAGTAAATGAAAACTACCAATCAGTTATTTTTTACTTTTTAGTGCTTTTTTTTGAAGTCGGTTTTTATTTTTTTGTTAAAAAGTTTTTATTTTTCCCTTTTTAGTGTAGACAGTAGTAGCACAGTAAGGATTCTAATGTGTTAGGCTTGTCAAATCAAACAAAGTAAGCCCAAACTCAAAGTATCTACTATTAGCCGTTGAAGAGTTCCACCTATCCACCTTCTGGCCTTGCCATCAGATCAGGTCAACAACACCGAACCACTGTACTATAAACGGAAATAGAAATACTTGCAAAGTTTCAAGTCAATATGACAATTATAAGTAGGTTAAATTCATCATTAGTTGTTTTTCCACCCTTAGGGGTGGTATTTTTTTTTGAAATTTAAATGGGACCAATCTGGAAGTATACCCTTTCAAACAAAACTAAAATTGTCCAAATCGGTTAATAAATGACGGAGTTCTGAGGTAACAAACATAAAAAAAAAAAAAAAAAAAAACATACAGTCGAATTGAGAACCTCCTCCTTTTTGAAGTCGGTTGAAAATATAATAGTAGGATGAAACCCATTAGAAAAGGGACATAAAAAGGTAAGTTTTCGCCAAATTTCGTTATTTTTTTTTTTGTAAAAGATAAAAATAAAAAACCAAAAACTAGGTTTTTTGAATTTTTCACTTAAATTTTGAGGTTATGTGAAAAAAGTGTAAATACAAAAGTTTTAGATCTTTTTATTACCTACAACTTTGCCATTTGACTTTTTTCGATAGGACTTTTAGTTTTGCCGGAAATCGAGAAAAACCGTTTTTTACCCTTAAAAACTCACCCCCATCCCCTTCCCGACCTCAGATCGCCCGTAAATTATTTTTCCTTTCATTTTTATAATATTCCCCTCCTTTTCTAATGGGTTGCATCCTACTATTTTTTTTTCACTTTTTATTATTTTTAAAGGCTTCTACCCTGGTCTATAAAATAATTGTCCCATAAATATTATTAATGCGCAAGTTTGGATGGATGGATGTTACTCAATCACTCCAGAACGGCTGAACCGATTTGGATGAAATTTGGCACAGAAATAAATTATAGCCTGGAATAGCACATGGCTACTTTTTTTTTTCATTTTTTTATCTTTTTTATCTTATCACAGACCAATATCGACTTTATATAAAACAGATTTTACATACAAGTTGGTTTTTATTCTTGAACAAAGCATCGATTAGGCAGGGTTTCTTTTAAATCTAAGACTGAGGATAGTTATCGCGTCGCCGCAACTCTGGATTGTTGTTTTAGTTGTAAGATAAATGTAAAAATGTACCTAACTTTTATAAGAATAAAGCTACATGAATTATGGATTTTTATTTGCATTTTATTTATTTCTTTATAGTGGTCAATAGGTTAAAAATGTTGGAAGTTCTTTTTTCGGCTAAAGTATATTTATTAACAACTAGCGACTCACCCTCGCTATCTTCGAGTTCGTCCGTAGTTACGTTTTAATGTTTAGTTAGATTTCTCAGAGACTACATATTTTCCCGCACCATAAAGTATCGTATACGTTGACCCGGATAACCAGCTATCATCATACCAAATTTTATCAAAATCCCTCCAGTAGTTTTGTCGTGATGCGTTCCCGACGGACAGGCAAAAATTCTAAAAACTAGATTCGGCCCAGAGCGATATAGAAACCGTTAATGATAATGATTATTTCAATAAGATTTTCCAAAAACTATTTAATGTACAGATACGACTCAGAATTTTATTTTACGTATAGGTCTATAAAATTTAGTTCCTTATTGTGACTGATTCATTCATTAAACTTTCACAACCAGATCATAAACCTGAAAAGCGGATATTTTGTCAGCTTATCCATGTGTTGTAGGGGAGCCCAAGAGGGGATTTTCTGTAGTTACTCGAGCGCGGCAGATTAACATAAAAGAGGTTACCTTGCACTCTATTGAGTACTTTCACCATAATATAAGTCTTCTATATAAAGGGGCGCGTCTAGGGAAGCCGATTAAAATATTTAAAAAATGTTTTGATAAGGTAGAAATACTTGAAACCGTCAGATTAAGGTGTGGTAGGCTAGTCACATCCTGAAAAGTGTCCAATTCAATAATCTGCCGATTTGCACAAGCTGAAGAGGCAAAAATCGACTATAAAGTTTATGATGATTTTTGCCTCTTAGGCTTGTGCAAATTGGCAGATTATTAAATTGGACACTTTTCAGGATGTGACTAGCTTACCACACCTTAATCTGACGGTTTCAAGTATTTTTACCTTATCAAAACATTTTTTAAATATTTTAATCGGCTTCCCTAGACGCGCCCCTTTATATAGAAGACTTATATTGTGGTGAAAGTACTCAATAGAGTGCAAGGTAACCTCTTTTATGTTAATCTGCCGCGCTCGAGTAACTACAGAAAATCCCCTCTTGGGCTCCCCTACTGGCCAAGATACTCTGGGAAACGATATCCTGAGGGGGTAGCAAATAAAAAACGGACAAACCGTGGCAAATTCTTACTTAACGATTCACAGACAAACAAGGATATTTTTTGATCCTTCGAGCTAAGATATTATTATATTTTTGTCCAATGAAAACCTTTTGACCTCCGTAGACCGTTAAGTAATAAAATTATGAGACACACTGATATGTAATGTGATTTGACGTGTTTAGTATGTGTTAAATGCAACAACTGCAAAATAAAATGTATTAAAATATTTATAACGTGGCTATTTCAGAAGTAGGCCAGGTAGGCCAAGTAAAGTTCGGTGCTACAGCACAAAGTTTTTATTCTTATATACAGAGTCGGAGTAACGCCTCAAACGACATTACAAAAAATAATGACGCATTGTCTATCCAAACAAAACAACGCTTTTTTCATTCAAGATGACGTTAGAAAATCCAAATCAGTATGACGGCGCCACAGATCGAGATTGGCAACGCTGGAGCGTCGCAATGGTAAGAGCGGGGCGGCCATTTTGCAGAGATTCGAGAAGGCGGCCGTTAGCGCATCACATACACGACGAATCGCTTACGATCTTTGTGTTTTAATTGCTTCATGTTTCATTTAAGTATTTTGCTTCTAATAAATTGTTATTTTGTTAATCTGAGTTAAACGTTGAGTTTTGTATTTCCTCGCCCGTATTGTACCCACGCCAAGCTCTTCTGATGAAGGCGCATGTGCGCCTATAAGTATTTTATATTAAAATGATAACATAAAGAATCAACTAATTTACAATAATACATTTAAATCTTATTTTTATATATGAAATTAATAATGAATATTGTTATTAGTGTAACATATTATCTTTATTAACATTTGTTGAAATAAATCTGGCTCGAAGGATCAAAAGTATAACCAGCCGGTAATTTCAATTTTTATGTTTGTCTTGGAATGAGAGATTTATAATTTTAATAAAACACATTTTTATCAAAATAAGTATATTTATAAAGTGACTACAAAGGAACTGGCTTAATAATAAGGCACGTCGCCTATATCCTATTTATGGCCAATCTTATATAATATATATTATATTCAAATAGATTGTCTGTCCGTCAAATCTGGTAACCTCGAACGTTTGTAAAACATCGCAAACTTTTACAACAAAAGTAATTATGTCTACGTACACTTACCTATTTAGGCACCGTCGATTCAGCTTGTACAATAATATAAGAAAATGAGTCCACATTGTATAGATTATATATTTAGATATGGCAATTATAATTACAGATATATATTTTTCAAAAAATATAAGTAAATTATGATAGTTTCAATATTTTAAAATTAATTTGTATGTTGTTTTATTATATCAATAGAGAAAAATTGTAACGTGGACACATTTTACTGCAACATTTCATTCTATGGCATACGTTACTAAGTACTTTGTACGAAAACATTTCACACATATCTATAACAAAATGAATAATTAAGTCAATGAAATCTATAATATATATACAACGGAAAAATATAATATGTAATTATATTATCTATATATAATGTGTATGTAAATATACTTAGCATGTAGTGCATAAGCTAAGAAAAAGGTTTTTCTACAAAAATCAACGTAATAGATAGTGTAAAATTAATAAACAATATAATGAATTTAAAATAAAAAAGGTGTAAAAATCATAACACTTAAAATAATATGAATAAATTACAAATTGGAATTGATTTTCTTTGCTAATTAAATATGACTTGTAAAATTTAAACACGTTGACTACTTTGATTGTGGGTGACCAATACTGCTTTATGGAGTTGCCACCTGCAAAAAAAATAATAATAAATATAATTATTTATTATTTATCAATAATTCAATTTAAGCCACTATAATTTATTTACTATAAGCTAGATTAAGAGATTTAATCGCTGTGTTGTAGAGAACAGTAAAGCTGATATTTTTAGCGTTCTATAGCGTTCGTTTTATTTTGCGATTGATAATTAAAATTACCTTTTAAATTTAACGAAATATTTATATATACAATGTTAAACGTAATTTTATTCATGTTTTATTTGATATTAAAAAGTACCTTTAGTTTAGATACCCTGATATTGCTGGCAAGAAAAATAAATTATATTTAATAAAATGAAAAATATAGATAGAAATGAACGATTCTTAAATTGATTTTTATTCAAGTTCATAGATAAAATTGAAAATTTCTTTATAGAACATCGTTGTTAAGAGGCACTGTTGAGAGGCATATCAAATAAATATATGTACAAGGTACATATATTTATGTACGTATCATATATTATGTACGAGTATTATAGGATAAATACTTTAAAAGTACTAGTCTAGTCTAGTGGTTAGCATATACGGTCGCAGGTCCGGAGGTCCTGGGTTTGAGTCCCTGATCGGGCCAAGTACAGTTATTGAGTATTTCTGTCTATAAATTCTCAGTAACAGTCTGGAGCCGGAATGTTGGCAGTGTTGCACTGCACCCTCGTGCCTCGGAGAGCATATAAAGCTGTCGGTCTTGAGCCTAAACTCTTTGTGAGATTGAAATCGCCGTGACCGAAAGCGGTCAGGAGAACATTATTATTCATAAATCATACTTACAACGAGCAGGTTGCCGCTCTTGGCGCGGTGTATGGTGGGCTGCGGGCCGGTGGTCACTTCGATGGTGCCGCCTTGCTTGCCGTTCACCAGGTTGTGTGCGATGCTGAATAAAAATACATTAGGAAATAATTTCTAGCTAAAAGAGTATATCGACTATACAATCACATTTTATTTTAAGTATACAAGTACCTCATTCATTAAAGATAAAATCGTGAAAATCGATTAACAATTCGCTTTTGCACAAATATAAGAAACATTCAATTGAATTTGAATTATTTTGTCTGTGGATATAAAAAGAAGTGTAGGTACCTACTGTTTACGAAACAAGAAATTTTATTTCTTCTTTATATTGAATATGTTGAGACGTGGTCCTTAAAGTGTATTTGTAGGAAATAATTGAAATAACATACGTCCTGGTGTCGACGATCTCGATGATCTCCGGCTTCTTCGTGTAGTCGGTGACGATGGTTAGTGCCTCGATCACGTGCGACACTGATATTATCAGGTCTCCCTATAGGAAATAAATAAAGAATGTCTTTAAAAATAAATTATATCCTTATATACAAATATTTATTTAATTTTGGAGTAGTAGTGTTTTGTTCATATAGTCCTTCGAGGCGGATTACCAAGATTTGGGTAATTGTTTACAAATTGGAATAGATTTTCTTTGCTACTTAAATATATACTACATTTTCAATTCGATACGCATAAGTTATATGTGCATTATTCTAGACTAAGTTAAAAAGATAGAAAGACATTATTATCATATATTGTGTGTGTATGTATGTCTATGATATAGCCTCTTACCTTATCCTTCTTTAAATCTTGAGGAATCTTCACCAGGACGAGATCATCAGTCTCGTGCGTGACGACAACACGCAACTTGTCGAGGGGTAACCTATGCTTCAACTTAAAAGTCTTTCTTGCGGCCGCGTCAAGTACGTACAAAGCGTGGTCGGACGCGAGCAGAGCTCGGGGGCGAGGCTTGTATCCGCGACGGTCATATTTTACAGCTTCACAGGAATACTGTAGTTGTTTTGATAAGATTTTTATTTGATTAAAGGTGCAAAGTTGGAAATATTTAATAATGGAAAGAGGAAGATGACACGTTTGTGTATATAAGGTTATTTTTACATGTATTTTATTTTCATATTTAATAATGTTTTAAGATATCAATAAAAAGGACATTTCATTAAAATTATGACAACTTACCTAGTAATATACTTAAACAAACATATAAGAATATTGATAATGATAGAATAGTAATTAAATAAACAACAGAATATCTACATATAATACAAAATATTTTATATCTTAAAGAGTTTTTTTGTCATGTTTGATTTAATTTATTAGGTATTTTTTAGCCTATTTATTGAAGAATATATGAAGTCTATATGCTTATTAACATCACATACATAACTCTTAGAACCGGAGCAATTGTAAATAGAGCAGAGAGCATATAGATACTAGCTTATTCTAGCTCTAGACGACAATTTACAAATATCATCATACCAATAGATTATTATCGCAAAAAAAACCCAGTAATCCCTCTTTTTATTGGTGCAAACTGTATAAAAATCCGTACAGTAGTGTCGTAGATTAGCCCGAACAAACTCAACAAGATTTTGTAACAGGTAGTAATAAACTCGAGCGAAGCCGCAGACAAAAGGTAGTATAGTTGGTAAATAATACAACTAATCGTATACTTATGTGATCAGCCCTTTTTAATGTACCACTGCTGGGCACGGACCACAATTCAAAATAAGGGGAATCATGCCATAAAGTCACGCCAAATGCGGAGTGGACTTCACATGTCTTTCGCAAATTGCTATTTTCTCTCAACATGCAGGTTTTTTACGATGTTTTCCTTCACAAAAATAGTAATTAATGTAAAAAAAGAATCTTACAATGAGTTTTTCGCCGGCGGGCCAGGCGGGCGACGCCATAAAGGTGTTGCGCAGGACACGTTGTTCTTCATTAAGCCGGTCCCACTGGAAGCGCTCGCGCACACTGCCTGGATAGCTGTTCTTTTTGCCTGTATTATGTATATTATATTATAATTGTTGTTATTCGTTTATTGATAGAATTAATTGTTAGTGAATGAGCTTTTCTTCATTTGTGTATTTTTAAGATTATATTATTTATTAAAATTGTTTTTTTTTGAAAATTCAGCCGTTTGAAATAAAAGTAATTGGAATTAAAAAAATAACTACGTATAACTATAGTACGAAGATCTAAATTAAATCTTATATCAAAAACACACTTAAAAGCCAAAAGCCAAATAGTCTTGATTTGGCTTCCATCCCAAATACCTATACTGTGAAAATCATTCATAATTTTTCAAAAAATATTCATTGTAAGTATACCATATATAAATTCTTAGTAACAACTTGATTGAGTGAAATTTTTTACAATTGTAGTTACATAATATATATTCTAATAGGCCTTAAATTAAAATAACTGGTCAGTAACATCGAACTTATCACACGAATTTCCTTCTCTTACCTTTAAATATCTTCTCAGCCAGCACCTTCAACTCGAACTGCTTCTTATCTTCAGGCGAGAGAGCCAACCGGTACTTCCTCGATAGGTGCAATCTATGCAAATGTTGGAGGTATTTAGAGGCCTCCTGGCATGTGGCTGGGCAGATAGGCCAGGAGAGGTCCAGGAGGTGGGAGGGAAGGCTCTTCGAGAGGCGCTTCAGCCAGTGCACCTTGGCTATACCGAGGAATCGACGGTTCTCTGGCGTGGCTGGGCCGTTGCGTGTTATGAAACCTGGTGGGTTGGGATGAAATAGTTTGTAGGTACATAAATAACTATCAGATTAAGAGGAAAAAAACTTGTATACATTTAAGTTATTTAATAATAAATATACTTTCAGTCTTCATGTTTGGTAAACATTGAAAAATTAGTTTATTTTTAAAATAACATAAAACAATATTAATTTAAACAAAAACATATTTTGTTAAAAAATACCCACGTAGTGAAGAGCATGCGCATGCTTGTGTGCGCAAGCTTGTTTGTTGCGTAAGGTGTACGTGTTACATCCCCCCAACGTGCGTTCACCTTGTCGTGGTGGGGGGGCTCAGTAGTGCCCGGCATCCAACCGGGCGCGAAGCTAAGAAACGCACAGGGAGGTTGCCCACTTCGGTGGGCGGTGGGAGGTGGCCCTCTTCGGGGGGCGGTGTACCTTGCGGGTTGCTCCTGGTACTTCTCTGATAGCAGAGTGGACCTTGAAGCAACCCCATGGTTGTGGTGGTCTGCTTTGGCAGACCTGCCGTCGGGGCGTCGTAGTTGAATGCGTAAGCGATCCTGCGACGCCTCATTAAGACGGGGGAAGGTTTTGTTGGGTTTTAGTGGGTAGTACTGGCTGTATTACGCCGGTGAGTCCCACACGTCGTGCGTAAATGCATTTCCCAACGTTAAAAAAAAAAAAAAAAGGTGTACGTGTTACATACATATACATTGACGACACATTTGGCTCAGTTCGTAGTGACCCTACTTGCTGTGCCAGCGGTCGCGGATTTAAGTCCCGCTGGGGGAATTCATTTGTGTGATGAGCACGAAAGTTTGTACTCCAGTCATGAGTGTTTATATTTATAATATGTATTAATAGTCATATATGTGTAGTATAAAAAATATCTGGTTATGGATACAAGCCTCGCTTACCATGGAACTAGATGGTGCTGTGTGTTAATGTCCCAACATATTTATTTATACATGTGTGTTTTAGTTTATCAATCTCACCTTTAATAAAAGCTCTAATAACATCAGCAGCTTTCCGCCGCCTCTCCCTCAGCCGCTGGGCGAGGAAGCGCCGCACCCACTTCTGCACGACGACGGCGGCGGCGCGCATGCGCAGGTACTGCTGGCGCTGGTAGTAGCCGCGCCAACGGCTCTGTATGATGGTCGCTATGTCGTTCTTCTTTAATTGAAACGAGTCTTCAGTGTCGAAGAGGGTTTTCGGGAAGCGTATAAAGATTTTTGTACTGGAAAGTGTATTATTTTGTTTCAGTTGAGTGTAGTGATTAAAGGATTTAAGTTATACTTAAGTACTATAGTTACGTCTCTACCTGTCTGTTTCAAATATTTAAAACTTATTCTTGGAATCCTAACACAGAAAAGTCTAAAAAAGATAGAATTCAAATTAGCGCGCCGGTTAGTAAAGAAATATACAAAAAAAAACAATTATGATTTACATAGCGTTATAATTTTAGAGACAAATAAGGTAAAACGATATTTATCATACGAAATCTGCCAAAAGCCATACTCACTTGCCCATCCTGTATTCCTCGCGCTCGTAATGCATGGCTTCGACCAGTTTCTGTACGCCGTCGCGCGCCGCCCCGCGGTAGTTGGGCCACGTGTCTTGGCTAAGGCATTTGTACCTATAGAAAGAATGCACGTTAAAATACATAATAATAATACCTTTTAACTTAAGAGTTTATTCGACATTAAAACGTTAAAAACATTTATTCTAAGCATAGTTCTTATTTTTATCCCATCCATTATACATGCGAAAGTTTGAATGGATGGACGTTTGTTATCAATCACGCCAGAACGGCTGAACGGATCCGGATAGCACAAATATAGTAGATTAGATAGTATAGATTTGTTTTTGTTTTTCACAGAGCAAGGGATCGACTATCCATCTATTCAATCTATTCCATACTAACCGTTAAAACGTACCCAGTTAAGCTAGTAACGTTACGCTAGTGTATCTCGCTAGTTTATAATATTTAGCAAAAATAATAATCGATACATTACGTCATTTTTACACTGACAGTCTTATTCTAGACATATATGTACAACTCAATCCTTACATTAAGATATATTATATATTTTATGGTATTATATGTAGTATTATAAATCATTTCTACCTTTCCAAGAAAGCTTCATAAGTTCTCCTATAAGCGAAGCCGGCGCGGCGCACGCGCAGGTTCTCCATGAGACCGAGGTACTTCACTTGGTGGGACACCAGCTTGTCGTCGAATTGCACTGCGAGTGTTAAACATAATTATTATAATAATCATATTCATTCTTACACTCAAAGTATACACATATAAAATGGAATTCGAGAAATAGCTTGGAATCATTTCTGGGATGGGAAGGAGTCGAATAAACTTATTACTTAGACTTCATTTATTTTCTTTACAATCTATCAATTTATTTGATGCACTCAGAGATCCCCAAGTTGAATTTACGTGAGTAGCTTTGATTTGACGAGACATTTTTTTGTACAAAAATTATTGTTACCTAATGGAAGCTACAGGGATATCTCTCTATATATTATGTGAGTTACAAAATACCCAAGACCACAGAAAAACATTAGTACAAATAATAAAAATATTAATTCCATGCAAAAGTCGAAAAAGTGACCGTTACCGACAGCGACTTATTATGTAAATACTATAGGCTAATAAATATAATATTTAATATTCTCACTTGGCATCTTAAAGTCATTGGGTTTGATGCAACGAATGTACGAAGGTTCTTTACTGCTCAAAATCTTGATCAATTCGTTTAGAGAGTTCTTGAACTGTGTAATGGCGGTTTCTGGACGCTTCTTGCTCGCTAAGTTGTAGTCCTGAAAAGAAATTAGAAAAATGATACGGACAATACAAAAAAGACTATAGTTTATAGATGAACTTATATGACCTTTAAATTTTAAAGAATAAAAAAAGATAAACTTACTTTAAAGCACGATCCAACAATGTTGTTGCCGGAAGTAGCCATGAGGCTTTGCAGATCGCGGAACAGCAGGTCGTTGTTCTTCTCTATGAACGTGTTCACGTTGTACGTCACTTCGCCCGCGTAGTGGACGAGGCAGAACTCCTGCAAACGTATTTGTTACTATGATTCTACGAATATTATAAATAGGAAAGTTGATGAATGGGGTTTTTTTTGTAAAAGAAGTAAACGAGTAAACGATCCACCTGATGGTAAGTAGCTATTGTCACTCATAGACGACATACTCGTGACAGGAGTTACGAAAGCGTTGCCGACCTGAAGACATGACTCTAGTAGAGCCTGCCCCTCCTGCGCTCAGGAAATACCTCAGGAGAAAGTTTGTTCCACAATTTATGTGTCAATTTGCGTTCGACCGATTAAATTATTAGATAGGATTTTTATAAAGCAAACTTAGTTGCGGTTACGGGTTACTAAAGGACGGCTAGATACTTTGTTCTAAATATTAAATGACCAATAAGAGTTAACATGGGATAGTACCAATCTCAAATTTACCTACCTATCTAGGGGTAGTCCAATAAAAATAATATAGGTTTTAGGTAGTTCCCTAGAAATAAAATACTAGAATAGTTCAAACTTAGAGAAAATATCTCAAATTTTCCTAAAATTTGAAATAGTTTCTTTAAATTTGAATACGTTTTTCTGATAGTTCTGCCTTTTTGGATAATATCGAGTAGGCAAATCGAAATAAATACAGAAATATAATGACTTACATCTCGCCCCATCAATTTCTGTGTCCTGGAATCGACTTTCTGGTGAGACTTATAATGCGCGTGTCCGTCCAAACGTTGCGATAGTTTCTCCAAGAAGCTGTAGTCATTCGCGTCTCCGGGGCGAAGGCATTCATCATCGAGGATTGAGATGATACCTGTTGAGAATATTTAGATATTAATGTTATGGTGTTGATATCTCAACATTTCTCCATGAGACAACTAGTGATACCTGGCAGTAATTTTGCTTAACGCAGAGGTATTGCAATTTAAATACCAGTTGCTTTGTGGAGACATGCTTAAAAATATTTATTATTTATAAATTTTAGTTGCAATTTTGTATTTGAAATAGATATCGATGTTTAAATCGCGTACTTAAAATATTTTTTATTAATTAGGAATGATTGCCCTGAATGTAAAGGTGTTTTGATATTTATTAATTCTCACAATTAGTACAGATAAACAAGAAAATCTCTTATTATATTTAATATTAGCTCGTTCTTTCTTACAATACACTATATAGAAGTATCTGACATAATAAGATTGCTGATACATTTCTATTGCTATACAAAGTAAGATATGCAGAGTGGACAGATAAGGTTAAGTAATAGAGTGCCTTATCGACCCTATATTCATGGATCCCTAATAATCAAAAGATAAAATCTCATCAAATCAAATCAAAATATACTTTATTAAAATAAACTTTTACAAGCACTTTTGAATCGTCAATTTAAATATTAAATTTAAATTAAATGTGAGTGTAGTCAGCCTGTGAGGAATCTACCATCGGCTTGGAAGGCAGTTCTGCTAAGAAGAGCGCGCGAGAAACTCAACAGTTGCTCTTTTAAAATAATATTTGTTTACAATATTGTAATACAATAATTGTCTACTTATCCTACGTGAGACCCAACCAGACATTAGTTCCACACATTGACATCTACAAAGTATTCCATGACAGTTTAAAAAGCTTTATTCAATAATAGATTTTTAATTTTAGACTTAAATTGTTTAAATCGCTCAAAGATACATACCTCTATGCCTTTGTTCAATTAGATCGCAAATAACAATGTTGTTGAAGTATTCAACAGGTTCCCATTCAATGCCTTCTCTCAAATACTCTTCTTGTTCCGATTTTAACGTCAGTTGGATGAATAATTGCTGGAGTTTTTCGTTGCAGAAGTTTATGCAGAATTGTTCGAAGCTGTAAAAACGTGTTTTAAGATGGACAATATATCCAAGGTGTTGACGTTACATGTGAATTAATATTATGGTGGAAAAATACTCTAAATTATAATTCTTTGAGGAATTAAGAATGTTGTTTCATAACTAAATTTAGATTCATTGTAATAATTTTCTTTTTATTTATTTTTAAGTAATAGAATTCCTTCTTTTGAAACTTTATCAAGTTTTTATTCGGAGTTTATAAATAAAGCTTTTAAATACAACCTAAATATGGTGCTTAATTTATGCTTACCTATTCTTCGGGAAGATCTCAAATCCGTAAATATCCAGAATACCAATAACAGAAGACCTTGGGTCTTTTTCTTTTGGCGCCAGGGAGGAATTGAGTCTAGAAACAAGCCAGCTGAAGTGCTTGTCGTATATCGCTTTAGCAAGAGCGTCTCGGGCATACTTGGCCTGGTCAAGGTCTAAAGGAGTAGTGACTACATCGCCTCGGGCCTCAATTGTTCTACTTATGAGTGCTTCTCGAAGTTTCGACGTGTTTACTTTGAGAAGCTAGAAATAAGGTTAACATTTGGTTACTTAAATAATATTTTATAAGTATTAATAGCAAGGGTTTCAAACCGGATAAGCATTAGTCATGTCTTAAGACTAAATATCAGTATTTTAATGTATTTCAAGAATTTGACAGAATTTTTCTTTTACTTACCTCTGCAACATTTTGACTATTAGCATCGTGGTTGAGAATTTCAGCATACCCTTTGTCATTTTGGACGAATTTCACGTTTCCAAGGTGTAGGATACTGGCCACAATGTCAAATATTGCTTTTTGTTCATCGCTACCGATTTCTATAATCTTCATCGCTTCTTGCACAGTGCGGAATTGTTCAGCATCGCTTAATTTTTGGCTCACTTGTGACTCCTTAAAAAATATACCATTAAAGCCCAGGATGATTATTTTACTGGATATTTTTATTTAACTTTTATTAACTATAATGTTTTTATTTAAATTATACTTGCTAAGATTAACTTTTAAACCTCAATTAATGTGTTAAAAATATTAAAATAATTTCGAACTTTTTCGTACCTTAATTTTAATTCATTTTTTATTTAGTTCACACTATTGTTTGGCTAATACTCTAAACACTCACCGAGTTAATCGTGTATTTGTAAACTTCTGGTCTTCCTTGGAGTTTGAGTTGATTCAACAACTCCTGATCTCCTCCAGCCAGCAGTTGATAGAAGATGTGGAAGTTCCTCTCTCCTGACATCTGACTGACGACCCTGGACTTCTCTAGTAAATAGTTCCAAATATGACCTCCTTCTGGTGCACCCTCGTAATTAAACTGAATGTCCATATATTTTCCAAATCGGCTAGAATTATCGTTTCTATGAGTTTTCGCATTACCAAACGCCTCCAATAAGGGATTGCTTTGCAAAAGTTTGTCTTTAACGCTCTCAACATTGTGTAAGTGGTTGGTGCGCGCTGCTATGTATTCGAGTACTTTTTTAGAAGCTTCGGTTTTTCCCGAACCAGATTCACCTGCAAGGAGTAATTTTACTTGTATAATATTTACTTTCAAAATTTTTGCTTATCTTCAGCCTAGTAGCATGAGCATTATATGTATTTGAACCAGAGTGTCGAAATCTATACTAATATTATAAAGAAGTAAAGTTTGTGAGTTTGTGAGGTGGTAGGGGATAATTTCTGGATCTACTGGACCGATTTAGATGAAATTTGGTAAAAAGATAATTTAAGACCCTGGGAAGGACGTCACTAGTTAATAATAAAAGCCTAACAACGTCTAAAGCTTAGAAGACAACTAACTATTTATTACAAGATACTTTAAGAACTTGAATTTAAAAGGAAATAAACATAGTAAATAGCATAGTTACATACCAGAAATCAGTATACATTGTTCCCTATGTTCATATACAAGTGACCTGTAAGCGTTGTCTGCGATGGCGAAACTAGAATAGAAAAACTGAAATTGTAGTATTTATAATTAAAAAGAAACTTGTGATAAATATAATCTGAGGTTTAATCGGTCGTTTTTAAATCATGTACCCGTGGAATTGTTGCTTTAGGGCATTTTGATAATTTCTATCCTGTTTTAGAACATAATGAAACTGTTAAGATAGATAAAAGATTATAGATAAAAAATAAATAGTTGGACTGTGCGGTGTGTAATTATTAATCACTACATGTTATAAAACAAAGTCCTCCGCTGCGTCTGTCTGTCTAACTGTCTAAAAATAACTGCACCGATTTTCATGCTGTTTTCACCAATGGATATAGTGATTCTCGAGGAAGGTTTTAGTATATAATTTGTTAAGTTTTTGTATACATTAACTAAAATATAACAATATTTGTTGTAGTTGTCGGAAAAAAATAAGCTGTCTGGGAGCTTTCAACGAAGACGCTGCGTAAACACTTTGAGATATAACAAAATAATGTGTATCTTATATAGGTCTACTGAAAAGTCCGCGATGGCATATGTCTATCTCTTAAGGATAAGATACTGTAACTATTTTAATTTAAAACGTACCTAGGGACGAATCTGAGCGAAGCTAGGGTGAGTCACTAGTTTAAATAATTAGCTAGCGGTTAGTGTCTATATGCCGAAGCTAGTATATTCAGGCTGGCGTGTTTGGCCGCCGGGCTTATTTCTAATGTGAGGAATTACACTCGCGCGGGCTGTCCGGCGGCATGTCTAAACTTCATAAGTTGTGCTGGCTATTATTATGTCACTTTACATCTATATATACAGATAAATAAAATTAATGTGTCTGTTTGTAATGTCAAAATACAGCGTTTTACTAAATGCATATGGAATTATATACGGTCCTTTTATGAAAAACACATTTTTTTTAATTTTTGTCCGTCTGTCTGTCTGCCTGTTCAGCAAAGCAGACCAACTTTGAAAAAAATTATTAGGTATGTATAGTAAATGAAAACTACCAATCAGTAATTTTTTACTTTTTAGTGCTTTTGTTTGAAGTCGGTTTTTATTATTTTGTTAAAAAGTTTTTATTTTTCCCTTATTAGTGTAGACTGTAGTAGCAAAGTAAGAATTCTAACGTATTAGGCTTGTCAAATCAAACAAAACAAGCCCAAACTCAAAGTATCTACTATTAGCCGTCGAAGAGTTCTACCTATCCACTTTCTGGCCTTACCATCAGATCAGGTCAGCAATACCGAACCACTGTACTATCAACGGAAATAGAAACACTTGCAAAGTTTCAAGTCAATATAACAATTAGAAGTAGGTTAAATTCATCATTAGCTATTTTTCCACTCTTAGGGGTGATATTTTTTTTTGAAATTTAAATGGGTCCAATCTGGAAGTATACACTTTCAAACAACACAAAAATTGTCCAAATCGGTTAATAAATGACGGAGTTCTGAGTTAACAAACATAAAAAAAAACAGTCAAATTGAGAACCTCCTCCTTTTTGAAGTCGGTTGAAAAGAATTAAATTTCCGCTCAAAAAAATTAAAACGTACCTAGGGACAGGACCCTTTTTTTAACGTTGGGAAATGCATTTACGCACGAGGTGTGGGACTCACCGGCAAAGCCAGTACTACCCACTAAAACCCTTCAAAACCTTCCCCTGTCTTAATGGGGCGTCGCAGGATCGCTTACGCATTCAACTACGACGCCCCGACGGCAGGTCTGCCGAAGCAGACCATAACAACCATAGGGTTGCTCCAAGGTCCACTCTGCTATCAGAGAAGTACCAGGAGCAACCCGCATGGTACACCGCCCACCGATGAGGGACACCTCCCACCGCCACCGAAGTGGGCTACCTCCCAGTGCGTTTCTTTACTTCGCGCCCGGCCGGACCCGCGGGCACTACTGATAGTCCATTGAAAAGTTACATTTGGGGTTGCATTTGTCAGAGGACGCAATTTTATTTTTTAAATATCAAGGGGAGGTTAGTGTAAAGTTAAATCCAAGTTTGTGGGGTTGCAGCCCTTGTCCCACGGCCGCCATCTTGGAAAAAGGGGTACGAATGGTTTTTATGGTTTATCTGACAAACTATAGGTCTCACAAAAAAATTGTTAAGCTATTTTTGATTGTAAATAAAATTCTCTACAACTTTGTTCATGTAACTTTTAGTCGTAGAACCAAAAATAACAAAGTTATAAGCGAAAATCGGTGAAAATTTAACAAAAAAATTGCTATTTATAATTATAACTTTTTTTCTGATCATTTTACAAAAAAAAATATCAGACCATTTTTATCGAAGCGCTTTTAAGGGATAAATTTTCATTGTAAACTTTTTAAATTTTATTCATTAATTAATACAAAAAAGATAATAATAGTTTTTGTCTCATTTATATTATACTATGTAAGATAATAACCGCTCTATCAATACAAAGTGTTGATATCGCGATAGCATTATTTGAAACTTCGATGAACAATTAATATAAAGCAATAATGTACGATAGTTATTATTTACTAGCGACTCACCCCACTCGAGTTCTTCTCTAGGTACTTTGAAATTTTTTGAGCGAAACCCTAATTCTTTTTCTCAAATAAAAGTAGCCTAAGTTACTCCCTATAACATCAGCTATCTTCCAGTGAAAGTCCCGTCAAAATCAGTCCAGCCGTTTCAGAGATTATCCGGAACAAACAGACAGATAGACAGAAAGACAAAAATTTCAAAAATTGTGTTTTTCTTATAAGTACCTACCGTATATAATTTCATATGCATTTAGTAAAACGCTGTTCTTTTGACGTTACAGACAGACACTTTAATTTTATTTATCCGTACCTATAGTAAGTTATTGTACTAGTTACAAACTCATAAATTATTTAATTTGGATAATGTAAGAAACATATCTAATATTTATACACATAATAAAATTCTGAGTCGAATCTGTACATTAAATATTCTGTGGAAAACTTATTGAAATAGTCATTATTATCGATTCAGAGGCCGAATCTATAGTTTTTAGATTTTTTGTCTGTCCGTATGTCTCACGAGAAAACCACTTTGATGAAAAGACTTTGATGAAATTTGGTTTGAAGATAGATGCTTATCCGGATCAACATATAGGATACTTGTTACTGCGGGAAAATATCTCACCTCTGAGAAATCTATACTAAACGTTAAAACGTAACTAGGAGTACTTGCTGGTTTTTAAATAACATCAAAATAAGTTCTTGGCATTTTGCATTGCTTTATCTCAAACTGACGTAAAATTGTAAGATTGGGTTTTTCCTCAAATTAGTTTACACGCGACAATTTTTATCTACATATTATTCCAGATTCCATCACTCCAGATGTAGGTAGAATAGTATTGTTTTTAGTATCATGTAGTCTCTATCAGATTATTCAATTATATATTATGTAGATAAGACGTATCTATTGCACTGTATGAGGTATTTAGATTGGTATTTTATTTTATAGTTTATCGGTACATTACTATATTTAAAGTACATGAGTAGCGAGTGATTTCATTAGTTTCGCTTATAATAAATATATTATCATATTTCAAAGTTACATACATATGTATGTAAAAATAAAAAAAAAACAAATTGGATTTTATTTTATGAATATTTTGTTAATGCAATTCCCAAATTTCATTTTAGATATTATATATTTACTTTCGATTTTGTGCTATTTTGTTTCTTTATTAATTTAAACTTATAATTCCTTACTTTTCTCAAAATTGATCAATAACAAGAAGATCTTTCGAGGAGGGTTCCGTGCATTATAAGGATTCTAAATAACTTAGGTCTTTTGTTAAAAAATCCATAGATATAGAGGTACATAGACAATAAACAAGGACACACGAGTAAGTGAATTTATAAGGATTCGTTTTTTCCTTTTAATAAGTATTCAGAATTCTATAACCAGTAATATTATTTATTACTTACACATGAGGTGGAGCTTCGAAAAAAGCTTTTTTGAAGTACAGCTTTGTTTTATCTTCAGTATAAATTGGTAAGTTCTTATAAGGATTTACGGAAATCAGTACATTGCCGATGTACGTCTGAAAACAAGAGGATTAAATATATAAATTCGGCAAACGATATAAAAAGTGCTAAATATGTATTTTACTGATTAATTTTAATTTAACAACCGGAAATATATTTATCATGATATCATGTCAAAGTCAGTGCCAACGTTTATAGCGTTACATCGTAAACATTTTAACACATTTCTAGATGACATTGGCGAAGTAAATTGTGCCCAACCGGCACTCTCCTAGAAGCCGTGAAATAAAATTGAAGCCATGAATAAAATACTTTCTTAGATTTACGCGAATATTTGACATTTTAAATAAAACTATCTTTTCGGATTTTGTCGCGGATTTATTTGGATTTTAATTTCCCGACGTTTCGAATGCTTTACAGCATCCATGGTCACGGGAGAGACTGAGGTGTTACATGTCTTGAATGTATAGTTGTTACAGACAGCCTACCCACAATTAACAAAATGAAAATTGCACCAATTACATTACAATATTTTTTAACTTTAAACATTTTTATAATTTTAATTATAATTGAATATGGAAAATTATTTATTTAATTTTGCTATTATTTTTATAATTATTACAATTTTAAAATATTAATTAGTAATCTATATTTAGTGTTGCCATTATTATATTTATAACCATAAAGAAAAATATAAAATGTAGTATTAATTATTAAAGCCATATAATTGTTCTATGTGTAATTTAAAAAAGTTAAAATTAATTAAGGATAATAATTTTAATTTAGTTTGCTATTATTTAAAAACAACTTACTAAGCAACACTATTAATATATACTTTTACAAATGAAAAATGAAAAATATTAGTCTGATAAGCTGTCATTTTGATCTACACAGTATGAACTTACTACATCTGCCTGTCTGTTATGTTTATATTTATTATTTGATTTTATTATATTAATAACAGGATCCCATGACGATGGTAGTACCCAGCCATCTTCCCTATTGAAATTAGGATGTTTTTTAATTTCTATGGCTTCTCGAATCATTCTAGGGCGATATCGGTTTTCTTTCGCCAGGATTTGAGGTCTATCGAAGCGAATATAATGGCTTGGGCGGTCCTGACTATGTTTGCAGACAGCAGATGTTGTATTGCGACGGTGCTTCACATCAGCTATGTGTTCTTTGACCCGGGTTCTAATGGATCTCTTTGTTTGTCCGATGTAAGAGAGCCCACAATTTAAAATTGTAATAATTATAAAAATAATAGCAAAATTAAATAAATAATTTTCCATATTCAATTATAATTAAAATTATAAAAATGTTTAAAGTTAAAAAATATTGTAATGTAATTGGTGCAATTTTCATTTTGTTAATTGTGGGTAGGCTGTCTGTAACAACTATACATTCAAGACATGTAACACCTCAGTCTCTCCCGTGACCATGGATGCTGTAAAGCATTCGAAACGTCGGGAAATTAAAATCCAAATAAATCCGCGACAAAATCCATGAATAAAAATTGAATTGAATTTTAATACACGGTCATAGTCTGAGTTCTGACTTGGGCAGATAGGGCCTTAGATACATATTGAAAATTGAAATCATAATAAAATTATTTTCATAGATATGCGAGTAGTTACGAGAGTAAAATACTTACATAAATAATGTTTTCGCTGAAACGTTTCCTTAGATTATCGATAAAGGCAGCCTCCGAGCGGTAATCTTCTAACAGGACGAAGTCTTGTACGCCCACGCGCTCTCGGTGTTGTAGAGCGTGCTCCATCACGCCTTGGACCGACAACGGCCGCAGTACCCTGGATAACCAATATAGAAAATTTATTATAATTAATCGAACTGCTATTATAAATGTAAAAGTTTGCGTGTGTGTGTGCATGCGTGCGTACATGCGCGTGTGATTGTGAGTATGCTTGTCTATTCGGGTGCGTTTCCGCGTGTGAGTGTGTATATATGTGTGTATCTCTTAGGTACCAAGAGATAGAGAGTGACATTGAAACGGCTCGAAGATTTTTTTATTTTAGGTTAGTTTGAATAGTGACAGGCCGTTTTGTTAAGTAAACGTAGCCCTTGGTTATAGGAATCCTATAATAAATCAAAAGATCCAGGTAGGATTGTGGAGTCATAAAAGTAAAAAAATAAGTTGTTAACAATTTTAGTAACATTTTTTGTGGCAAATGTCTCTACCAAGGTTTATTCAAGATTCAAGGCAAGATTAATTAACCGGCTTCAAATAGGAGGAGGTTCTCAATTCGATTGATATTTTTTTATGTATGTACACCGATTACGCTGCCATTTGGTCCCATAAAAATTTAGTAACATTTTTGTTTACGTGGACGATGTAATTCTATTTTAGTTTGTGTACCTACGGCTTTTTAGGAGTTTTCATTTAGGTCGATTATTGATAAACCTATCAATAGGTAGCACATACAAATAATAGTATTTTATTAATATTAAAGGTATAAGGTTTGCATAAGAGGAGTATTAAATGAAATATTTAGTAAGTTATTTTATACTTTTTAGTTTTTGAAGTCTGTTTTTTTAAACGTAGTTTTTTGTGATGAATTATTATTTGATCGCTCAAGTGACGTTGTTTAAGTTCTCAACTGAGCAACATAGTACAATAAAATATCGGCAACAAACTATAAGGGTTACCGCTTAAAACGAAAACATGGTTTGTTGATAATATTAGTTACGAGTATATAGTACATACATATATCATCTTGGCCGACAGCTTGATGAAATTGAAGAAACATTTGTTATCACCACGTATGGTCAACAACAACATAAAAGCTATCAACTGCCGTTTGATGGATACTTAGTTTATCGATCGTTTAATCCGAATTATATATGATTGGATTAAATTCAGTATACTTAGGCTAAACCTCTTCAATCAACAATGTAGTATTTTTGATCAAAGCTATACCTGGAATTGCACTGTTAAAAATTCTAAATAGTTTGTATATAGGTATATAATATATATGTAAATAAGTAAAAAAAGTTGTATTTTAAGAAAATACGTAAAATTAAAAATATTAAACCCCTACGCAAATTAATTGCCATTTAACGATTACACTGGCACGCGTGAAGCACTTAATCGTGCAATCATACGCCAAAATGCCTTACACCATTTTGGAAAAGAGCTGATACTCTTACACTGCTGGACCGACAATAACCAAAAATAGCTAAACCACCACAAGGAAACTGACTGTCGAATGAAAAAAACCGCATCGAAATCGGTCTATCCGTTTGAGAGCTACGATGCCACAGACAGACACACACACACAGACAGACATCGATGTCAAATTTATAACACCCCTCTTTTTGCGTCGGGGATTAAGTTAATTAAAATATACATCGTCGTTAGTAAAAAAATTAAGAAACGCAAGAAGTAATTTTAAGAAATATATTATTATATTTGAATATATAAATAAGCTTCATTTAACTTCCCATTTTGGAACAAGCACGAAGCTAATAATAAAATTTGCCAAAAGGTGGCGCTACCTGTATAAAACAAAAGGTACAGAGGGCTGCACCCGCTCGAAGCGAGGGTAATGCGCTAGTGAGTAATATAATAAATGCATAATTGTGTTTTTGGATTTATCCTAAATTAAATCAGTAAGTAATATTATATGGGCTAAAAATATAGTCAGAAATATAGTCTATGTCTAATAGAATACTCTTTACGGTAGCTTCCGAAAAATGTGAGCATTAAGTATATTGCCTACATGTAAACAGTAAACGTATTATATATGGAAAATACTGTATGGCATAATATGTCACTATATCTTAAATTTGAACCTTCATCTCTTATCGATGAAAGCAATGCAGTCATATCTGCAATTTCACCGACATACGAGTATTTATTTTGCTGTCGTTAGATGCTACTGAATTATTGAATGTGAATGTATGAAGTATCTCTTACATTTAACCAAAGGGCATGGGTTCGTCAGTACTTTTTGTGTGGTAATGTGAAAATGATGATGTTCTCCTGACCGATCCCGGCCACGGCGGCCAATCTCATTGAGATTAGCCAACTGCGCAGGAGATATTATAGTGCACAAGTGTACGCGCAGACACAAGTGCACTCTCTATTCCTGTCACTCTCATACTCTGGTGGGACGACTGCTCGACACGAACAGTGAGAGTTAAGGCGCAGGACCGACGGCTTTACGTGCTCTCCGAGGCACGGGGGTGACACACCGCCAACTTCCCAACTCCGGGCTGTTACTGAGGCTTACTATACAGAAAGACTCAACAACTAAACTTGGCCCGACCCGGACTCGAACCCAGGACCTCCGGGTGTGCAGCCGTACATGCTAGCCACTACACCGCCGAGGCAGTAAAATAGTTAATACGTAAGTAGGTCACAAGGAAATAGGTAGATTCTTCATAGACTTACATACTGTCATATATTTTGATTTGATTTAATTGATTAACTATGTAGTGTATAGTGCATACCAGCTTATAGCTTGAAGAAAATATAGTAACCTACGGGAGGCTGCTGTATTTCGAATAAGTGCACAAGTTTAAGATAATATTGTTGGTTTGATACTTGATACTTTTATTATAAAGTAAAAGGTTATTCTATTATATATTAGCTACAATTTCAGATTTAGAATTTAGATTTTTGGCAAGGGAGTTGTAGTTATGAATTTTACTAATGCTGAAAAGTTTGTTTGTGTTTTGGTTTGTTTGATCGCGCTAACCGATGAAACTAAAGCCTAAGTAACTTGGATTTTAAGAGCTATTTTTGTATTAATCTATTTATTTTGAGGAACTTTAACTTTATAGGCTAAATAACATTATTCTTCATTTTCACTTATCTTAGGAGCGAAGCTATTATCCATACTAATATTGTAAATGTGAAAGTGTGTTTGTTTGTTTGTTTGTTTGTTTGTCTTTCTTTCACGTTGAAACGGCTTACCGGATTGGCGTGATTTTTTTGTGTGGAGATAGTTGGAGGGCTGGAGAGTGAGATAGGCTACTTTTTCTCTCTTCGATTCTCTCTTTCGATAATTTTCTTAGTACGGGGATCAAAAAGTGACTTTCGTTGTATACGGAAAAACACATCCATTTTGCTGTAACGGTTTATTATATAGAGTGATGTAACATGCAAAATATATACATATATGAATGTATGTATTATTTTTCATGGTACATCACTCTGTTAGCCCTCTAATTCATTTTTTTATTTATTTCTTTTAAGCTATTACTAGGTATGCGCTAAACGTTCAATGATTCGTGTTTCAAATTGCCAGCCATTAGAGATGCTGTTATCAATTCAGAGACGAAACTTTGTGTCATCGATCTCTACATAGAGTTACATAAACATGAAATTCTTAGAACACTTTAATGGGTAGTATTAGTATTGTTGTATTATAAGCATTATGGGTATGAATTTGAAGTATTTACCTAAACTATATAGTATGTTATATTCTAACAGATTTTTAATTTATTAATTTAACTACTGAGATATAGCCAAAGCGCTTCTTTTGTTATTTATTAGCAAATTGCCTGTATTTTTTTTATTAGCAACTCACTTTGGCTTTGCTCGGGTTCGTCCCTAGTGACAAACAAAAACAGATCTATCTCACGGGAATCGTACATTTTTCCAGGATTAAAAGTAACATATGTGCTATTCCAGACTATAATATATATATTTGATGTGTATATCCATATGTGTATATCCGTATTGAATGAGTATATCCGTTCAGCCGCTCTGGCGTTATTGAGTAAGAAACATCCATCCAAACATCCAAACATCTTAACTTTCAAATTAATAATATTAGTATAGAAGTATAGATTAATTTAAATACACAAGATAAATCTGATTAAATGAATGTAATAAGTAATATTATTTGCTTATACATTTGATAAACTATCAACAACAAATATCAATTCTTATTTCTTCAATCTGAACATTTCAATATTTATCTAATGTGTAACTGTTACACATGTCAAAAGTGACATTTTATCGTAATTTTATCAAATACAATCGAACTCACCTCTCACGCTGTTTTAGTATCCTAAATAATAATCCACAATCTTTTGCTTCACCAAAACCCATTTTCAATTTTTTTATGAAATAATAAATGAAAATTTAAGTTAATTTTTTCAACATCTTATCTATATTTATTAAAGTTATCCACAACTTAAAATGATATACTGCCAATAATAGTTTATTATCGTTTTTAGTTTATATAAAAAACAGTCACATATTAGTCATGAGGTCAGTTCGGAACCTACTAATATACTGAGAAGAGATATTTGAAATATAATAATCGTTACAACTAACGAGCCTGGGAACAGTAAACATCGTTGTTTTAATGTGGTCATTCACGGATGCCATATCAACTATTCTGGATAAGATAATGCGTTCGCAAATAAAAACTTTTTAACAAAAAAATAAAAACCGACTTCAAACAAAAGCACTAAAAAGTAAAAAATAACTGATTGGTAGTTTTCATTCACTATACATATCTAATTAAATATATTCGAAGTCGGTGTGCTTTGATTTATATGGCCTGGCACCGATTTCGAAAATATTTGATTAGGTATGTATTTTATAGGTAGGCTTTAATTACTTAGCCAAAGCACACCGACTTCGAATATATTTAATTAGATATGTATAGTGAATGAAAACTACCAATCAGTTATTTTTTTACTTTTTAGTGCTTTTGTTTGAAGTCGGTTTTTATTTTTTTGTTAAAAAGTTTTTATTTTTCCCTTTTTAGTGTAGACAGTAGTAGCAAAGTAAGAATTCTAACGTATTAGGCTTGTCAAATCAAACAAAACAAGCCCAAACTCAAAGTATCTACTATTAGCCGTTGAAGAGTTCCACCTATCCACCTTCTGGCCTTACCATCAGATCAGGTCAACAATACCGAACCACTGTACTATCAACGGAAATAGAAACACTTGCAAAGTTTCAAGTCAATATGACAATTAGAAGTAGGTTAAATTCATCATTAGCTATTTTTCCACCCTTAGGGGTGGTATTTTTTTTTGAAATTTAAATGGGACCAATCTGGAAGTATACACTTTCAAACAACACAAAAATTGTCCAAATTGTTTAATAAATGACGGAGTTCTGAGGTAACAAACATAAAAAAAAAACATACAGTCGAATTGAGAACCTCCTCCTTTTTGAAGTCGGTTGATAAATTATAATTTAACATATTTCGTCACTTTTAAATTGTTATAAAATTTTGCTTATTAAAGAAGTATGTGTTTCAAACTACGAGAAATAGAAAAAACAATACGATTATTTTTTTTATTTTTCCCGTTTAATCGTGATATTTTTTTATAATTTATTTATAATTTAATTTCCTCACATCCATACAGGATGTTATTTTTAATGCAATTGTCGTTAATTTATATTTGTAGGTTCATAAAAATTAAAAAAATAATTTGACTTTGTAGGTTTAAAAATATACGTTGTATTATAATAATGCAGGCGATGACATAAACGCGAAAAAGACAATATTTATATCATGAAACCTATAACGGAAGTTCATTATATAAATAATTGGAATTATGATTAATTATTTTCCTTTCTTACCTTATGACTTTAGTAATATCTAATCCATACTAATATTATAAATGTGAAAGTGTGTTTGTTTATTTGTTTGTCCTTCTTTCACGTGAAAACGGAATGATGGATTGGCGTGATTTTTTGTATGTAGATAGGTAGTTGGAGGGCTGGAGAGTGACATAGGCTACTTTTTACCGCCAGAGATTATCTACTTCCCACGGAAAAACACGTTATAAATTATAATACAACCGAAAAAAATATATTTATGATGAGAATTTGCAACATGGTATTAATGCTCTTCAACACAATTAAATAAATACGTGTTTTAGAATTTTTCGTAATTCATCACATAAAGGGGTAAAATAAGGTATGAAATTGGTATGAAGCCTACCTTTTTAGAGCTTTTTTGTAGTTTTAGTGCAAGCGAAGCCGCGGGTTCTGCTAGTAATTAAATAAAACTGATTGTAAATATACTACTATAATATACACATTACACAGGCACATAATAAAAAAAATTGAAAATAGAACACAATATAGAAAATGCAAAATAGGTTAGCATTGCACATACGAGTAGAATACCATTCTTGTCAATGACCAGTATCCACTCAATTCCAAAATATTATTAAATCTGTAAATATATGTAGTTAACTCTTAATTATTATCAATTAGTTAAATAAATCAATTAATGATAAATAATATAATTTTACTTAAATATAATTTGCTTGTACTATGATTTTATTGACACAAAGGGTAATCTACTCGTATCTATTACCTACGTATAAGTAATTACAACTTAGATATAACATTATAATTTAATACATATATTAGAAGCCTGGAAATACATGTAACTGCGATCTATTAAAATTATATATTGAGTTTTTATCATTCTCTAAGTAAGCTCTTTAAGTTATATATTTTGTGAGCGTATTTTAAAGCATTTATGCATAATCTGTATTGACGACCTAATATAGACGATATTACGAACAGAAAAATAAGTGACTCTTTCAAATTAAATCCTGTGTAAGATAATTATTTTCATATAAAAATCCGTTTTATTAAAACCTCTCATCAAATACCCTCTGGTAGATTGCTTTAAGCAATAAGACGGACTTTAAATGCCTAGTGCCCGATTTCACCAACGTCACCTAAGTTTAAGGGATCCCCTAAGCATGGTTAGGGGGCTCGAAATATGAGCTTAAAGACGATGGCAAAACGAAATTTAATTTAGGGGCTAGTTTAGGGGAATTTTTAGTTAGGGATCCCATACGTAGGTGGTAGCTTATGGGTTGTTGGTGAAATCGGGCATAATACACATATTTCTTTAACATCACCTATACCTATTTTCATTTTATTGTGTTTGCACTTACGAAAAAATAATAATAATTAATAGACTAATGTTCTTCGTGTCTTTTCCATTCTACATACGTGACATTGGCGAAGTAATCTGTGCTCAACTGGCACGCTTTGAAGCCATTAACAAGAGAATTGAATTGAATAAAAAAATATATTTAATAAGATATAAGCAATATTAATTTTAAATTATACGCATTTGAAGCCACGAGGAACGCTTAGTCCTAATACATTCTAGAAAAACATACCGCATTGTGATATTAGCAGAATGTCAACTGAGCTGGCATTAGCGTAAATACCAAGGCATTACACGTCTTCGGTTGACACATTTTTTTATATCTCTAATAGTGGCTACGAAATATTGTCTGGTGATTAACCTTAATGGCTCAATGGTTTAAGATAGTGTGAACACTAGTCGGGGGTTTGGTTCAAATTTATTTCCTATCATATAAAAGAGAAATAATTATTATATTTCTTTTTTTGTTTTATAGATAAATTTAGTTTGTAGTGCAGTATGTAATATTAATATATAATAAATAAGAAAATACATAATATAATGAATTTCGTTCTCTGATTCTCGTCAATGGGTATTTCTCCGAGATTGCGTTCTTCATCTGATTAAATTGAATTTTTGGCCAGATTAATCAGATGAGGGACGCATTCTCGGAGAAATACCCCATACTGTATTTTATTATGGATAGCCCTCTCTCATTTCGGAACTAAGGCTTTTAGAAATTCCCCTATAAATATCAAACTAAACTAAAATTTTGATGGCTAGGTAATATACCTATTTCAATACTAATAATTACTTGTTAACTTAAAAGCTACATTAATTTAATTCACCCTTAAAAGATGATTTTTTCTAGAGTTTTGTAAAAAAGGGGAATCTTAAGGATTATGATCTCTTCATAAAAAATATAATCAAATAAAACTGACTCACACTTTGCACAGAGATTCAATAAAAAATCTAAACTCTTCATCCATATTATTGTTTCAGAAATAAACATTGTTTGTCAGAAACTCTATACTACCAGCAATCCAGAAATTCTTCTTTCTTTGCGGTCGCCCAAAAAATAAAGGACAAGTAGTGTTTGCGATATAAGTGTAAACGGATAGACACATGGAGAAATGTTGAATATCATATTTGAAGCGAAAACGGGTCGCTAGTCGCTATCTTTGAATTAATTCAAGACATTGCAATAATTATAAAGCAGGCGCATTTCATTACAATATGTTTTATTGTAACTTTTATTATTTACTAGCGTTGCCCGCGGCTCCGCCCGCGTTCAGATGGTCAAAAACCAAATTCTCAGGTTTTACATAGTAGTAACTCTTACAATGCAGTTTTTGTATTTTTTCTCAGAAATGAGTTATTTTCCTATATGTTGACCCGCTATTACCATACCAAATTTCATCAAAATCCCTCCAGTGGTTTTTCTGTGATGCGGTAACAGATAGACAAAAATTCTAAAAACTATAGATTCGGCCTCTGTATCGATAATTATGTTTATTTCAATAAGATTTTCCAAAGAATATTTAATATACAGATTCGGCTTAGTGACAATTTTATTATATGTATAGATGTTAGTGAATTATGGTTTTTTATCATGTTTAAACTGTTTGTGTAGCCACAAGAGATTATCCTACTTTATTGATACTAGGGCTTCTTTGTCTTCAAAGGAGATTATTTATGTAAGTACTATTGTAATTATAGGTCGATTACTTTTAAATATTCTACTACATTTTGCATTTTTTTAATTAAAACTTTACAATTTCTTTGTTTGTATGGAATCTTTAGAAATACTTAAGTACCTGGGCGACCGAACTCCGAAATTGTAGTAATAAAATTAGGATTTATAAACACTACATTTTAAAAATGCGCTGAAGACGCGCGTATTATGAACGTCGTGCGTCGTGTCACAGAATATGCGCATATTCTGTGATGATGAACTTAAAAATGCATATTATTAACAATAAGCAGTATGGACGTACTGCGCCGACCCCAAGTAAAAATGTGAATTGGGCAGGGAGATGGTAATTATTTACCTATCAATACAAACCCGTGACAAGTGTATGTCAACTACATTATATTCATTACATACAGGTTACAGATTACATACCATACAGATTTGTAAACGATTGGTCAATTCTTCTAATGGAAATCGAATCTGCCACCGACTGAC